ATAATAAAGGCCTTACTAGCTTCTGTCTTTCAATTATTTTTTTTTACCCAGACACTCCCTCTCTAAGTAGGTAATTTCATGGTTAGTGGTGTTTCTGGTACCTGAGAACCACCTGAATATTGGTGGATTTATGCTCTCTGCTCCCTCCAAGCTCAGGAAAGAGTATAGCTGTTGCCTCATTCCAAATGGAAAAAAAAATCTTCCAAACAGTGATAGGGCTTTTCAATGTGCTTCTAAGAACAAAAGAATAAAACTTCTGTGCCAGAAATACAGTCAGTGGCTTAAGTATCCCTTGCTGTTTCGCATAGCAACAAGTCTTTTGTTAGGTTTTGGTGTCTCAGAGACCTCTCCCCATATGCAGCATAAAGTTACTTCCCTTTAAAAAACAATGTCCAGAGATGGATGTGCAGCTGCCATAGCTTGTAAACATCTCTCACCACTTGCCTCGCCAAAGAAATGTTGTTTCTGATGGCCTGCTTGCAGTACTTTATGTTCTCTCTTAATTAATCAAAGAGTTCTTATCTTTACTGCACTTTAACTTGTCTAACATGCATTCCCAAAAGCACCCGAGTTTTATTTCTAGGAACGAGAGTGTCGTCTTATTGGGACCATATGTGTGTCAGAGCCTGCCCTCTCTGCAGTACATATGAGCAACCATATTGATTCGTTCCCAGAGCACTACCTTTGAACATTCATACTACTTTCATTAAACGTAGCTCTGTTTTTTTATTCCCTTCTCCCCTTTCCCCTGCACCCTCCAGCTATACTCAGCCTTGCTGAGTCAAAAAAGGAACAAACAGAAAACATATTTAAAAGAGGATTATGTCCATATGGAGGAGGACTGACATCAATTCACAAACTGGGAAGACTCTCCTATGCTGCCTTGTTTTGCTTTCAGTTGTCCGTACACTGCCTGTGCAGGTGAGTCAATGCCTGAACACCTAAGGAAAGGACAGGTACTCTCAGGTCTCTCTACTCACTGAGAAAAAAACAGGGTTTGGTTTTTTTTTCCTTTTTTTTCCTTTTTTTTTTTTTAAAGGTAGTTATTGCTTGAATGCAATGCATTCTGGTTAACTCCAAAGGGAATATTTGCTGCTGTTGCCCGTGGGGTTTCTCAGGTGGTCCAGAGTTGGGTGGCTGCTAACCTCTCACAGCCCCAGCAGCACCATGGGCGCTGAGCACGTGCTCCCCACGCATGCTCCTTCTCCTCTGAGCAGCGATATTCACCAGTAAAAAGGAGCAATATGGGACAGGCAGATTTGGGTTTTTTTGCTTTCCTGATCTGTTTTGGTGAAAGCTCTTCAAACCTGTGGACCTGCTTACTGGGATCAATATCTCTGAACCATGTTGGGTTGGAACAAGATGATGATCTTTAAGGTCCTTTTCAACTCAGATCAGTCTATGATTCTTCATTGGAGTTGCTTTTACTGGTGGTCAGCACTTGGCTTATGCAAGGACCCTGAGGAACCCCATCTTTGCACTGAGAGAAGATTAGAAGCAGGTGGTAAAGAAAATCAGAGCCAGGCTTTGGTCCCACCAAGTCTCCTTTCAGCCTAGAAGGTGGGATTTTCTCCCAGTGCCTCAAGAATTCGATGCAGTAGCCCTTGTTTGACCTGGTTCACTCTTCTCAGCACTGACACATTGCAGAGAGGGCCAGAACATCTGTACACAGCTCACTGACACACAGATGCAGCTGAAGCAGCTCCTCAAGAGCTGCCATGTCTGTGTCCCATGGGAAGCTCAGGTCCTGGGAAGATTGTTTTGGCAGAGAGCTGAGACACCCCACAAATCTCTGTCTTCAGATCTTTCTTTACTTTTGCCTTGCCCTGTGAAGGATTTGAGATTCCTCCTGCCTCCACAGTGTCTTTTGTGTGCTTGTCACATGTTTTCAGCAGAGACCAGCCGCGGCTGATGTGTGTCCTGTGACACCCTGGGAGATGCTGGGGAGAAGAGCAAAGGGATTGCTGCCTTGCTGTCCTTCAGGGTGATGCCAAAACACTGAGAGACGAACACCAGCCCTATCTCACCTGCCACCAGCCTATTTGCCACTTCAAAGGGAGCTTTCCAAGGGAAGATTTTTATGTCTGACACTTGCCTGAGGCCAACTGGAGAGAGATCTCTCCTTAGCTCCCCAACTGGTCTGCTCTGTCAGGTTAAATCATTGTAAGGTAATGAAGAAACCAACTAGAGATTTGTGACTCTTGGTTGGGGCAAGCGTTCACTTCATTGTGATAATTAACAGTGCTGAGTAGATGTAAGGCCACCTCAAAGTGAGGCACATCTGTCCTGATGTTAATAAAACTGAGTCCCCAGCCTTGAATAGATCACAGTTGAATTGCAGCTGTGATTCAGAAAGTGATGTAAGAAAGCAGGAAAAGGAGAGAGAAAAAAACCCTGTTCAACCTTCAGTAAAGTCAGGGCTGCTTTTATGCTGGAGAGGTTTGGAACAGGGTGCTGACATCTGTTTGAAATAGATAGAAATGCCACGTAGTATCACTCCAACACCACCTTCCCTAACAAGCCAGCCCTGATTATCAATATGGATGTGACTGTGATGTTGAAATCTGGTCCCCGAACTATGACATTTGCTCTACAACATTTTCTCATTCCCAATACCCTTTTCTCATTCCCAGAATGAAAATCATCCAAGCACATCCTCATCACCCAGCTTTCTTTGGAAACAAGACTTAACCCTCACTTTGGACTGAGAAATTGAAGATATCAAGGGATCTCTAAAGTCAAAAACATCAGGTGAGGAGTCCAGATTTCTTCTCTCCAGGCCACAACTGCCCAAAAGCATGATGAATACCCATAGATTTGTTTTAAAGGTGAAAAGCCCATATAAGACCCCTTGGAATTGCAGAAACATGAGAACTCCTAGTTGTGATAGTGGCTGAGTGCTGTGGGTCAGGCAGGATTGTGCCCAGAGCTCAGTTCAAAAAAATGTGCCAGATTAATAGGCATAATTAAGACTGACATTGAGTAAGAGGCAAGAACGACTAATCAGATGCTAACTTAGCTGATGCTGGCATTACTGAAAGCCTGGGGGCATAGTCCAAGGATAAAAACATAACTTGTTATCTAACCAAGGAGTCATTTGTGCACCACTAGTTACAACATGTCCTTAAAAAGTGAAAGAGGGGGGGAAAAAAAAAGAAATATCTATGGCACATGAAATTATTTTATGCCCCAGAAATGATAAGGAAATAAAGCTAAGGGCTCCTGCACCCTATCTTTATAAGGAAAGAACCCTATCTAGGTTAACCCATTACAATGTCCACTGTAAGTCCCCAGGATATGGAAAAATCCATTTATTAAAAAAAAAAAAATGAAATGGGGATGAAATTGAAATTAGTGCATCTAAGACATTTCAAACCTCAGTTTTGGCTTATTTCTTGCTATTTGGTGATTGCTAGGATACATGGGGCCGCCCTGCTCCAAGGTTCAGTGCAAGTTCAGGCAGTCTGGCAATCCTCTTCTTTTGGCCAAGGCTCCTTTTCTGGCAACACGTCTCCCTATTTCTCAAGATTTTTTTTCTCCAGATTCATTAGGACATTGAACTGCATCTCACAGAAGAGCTCATGGAAAGGAAAGGCCTTCTGACACAAAACAACGTCACTGGAGAGGCAACTGTAATGTCAGGGAAGGCATATGAAAACAAGCACTTCAAATTCTGTCACTTTGCATAGTTGTGTTTTATTTCCAGTCCTTTGCAGTAGAGTGTATAAGTCTTAACAAGGACAGAACTTCTGTGCAAAATCCGTTAAACTAAAAAAAAACCAAAACAACCACAGCCCTGTGGGGAAAAATTGGAATTGTGTTTTTGTAATACAGGCCTTTCCCAGGAAAGCCAGGCATTGGTTGGTGTGAAATGCAACACCACACATCTGCAAGGGCGTCTGCCCGGTTCTTTCCAGCCTTTTCCATTTTCATCACTTGCCATCACTTGAAACCCTCTGCCTAACAATTTGCAACCACAACCTGGCTCTTTCTCAGTGGAGACTCTGCAAGATAGAGACCTCTTTTTCCCATCCTTAAGGTCCTCCTTCAGTCTCCTCCAGGCTAAACACCCCCAGTTCCCTCATCTTCTCCTCACAGTCCCTTCCCCAGCCTCGTTGCTCTCCTCTGGACCCGCTCCAGCCCCTCAAGGTCTTTCTTGCAGGGAGGGGCCCAGCCTTGCACACAGGGCTCGAGGTGAGGTCTCACCAGTGCTGAGCACAGGGGCAGCATTACAGCCCTGCTCCTGCTGGCCACACTGCTCCTGATACAAGCCAGGATGCCACTGGCCTTCCAGGCCACATGGGCACACCACTGGCTCATGTTCAACTGGTTGTCAACTAGTGCTCCCAGGTCTCTCTCCGCTGGGCTGCTCTCCAGCCAAAAGGTGGTGGGTGGGAGAGTTCACTTCCCCTTTGCCTGTTGGGCAGGGTGAAGCCGTGTGGATGGCTGTCATAAAGCCTCAGTTTTCCCTCCCAGTAGCAACTCAAGGTGTGAACCGGTGTACAGCACTGTTTGTGCATCATGCCAACGCCTCAGGTTCTCAGTGCGGACCTATCTCAATGGTCTTCGGTCAGTGGTGACACCAGCTTGTTATCTTCACCAGCTTCAAGTACCATCATTTGGTCTTTTCCCAAGGACCGGGGAGCGTTGGCCATGGGTGTTATTTGACGCGAGCACTGCTTCGCCCTTGAAGAGCGGCGCATGTGCGAGAACGCCTCTCCGCAGCCCTTTTCAAAATGTTTGCGCAGGAAAAGCCATAAACCGGGCTGTATCGACCCGAAGATGCAATCCAAGTCGTTTGAGTCTAGGCCTTATCTACATCATATTATCAGGCCCGAGAGAGCACAGATGCACCTCGGGAAGGGAGGGGACGGCGGGCGCAAGAGGGAACGGCTTCGTCCCTTCTTTCCTCGCACGGGGAGGGGACTGCGGGCAGAGCTGGGTAATGATTTGTCATCGCAAGGGCTGGGGTGTCTCTCTTTGCAGAGGAAACCTTGGCGGTGATTGACAGCAGGGCTGTTTTTTGCCGCTTCTCTTGCTGTTGACGGGTAATAATGAAGCTTTGTCAGTCCATCATGGACATGGATATGCCAGATTACGTCGACTCCTTGGATTCCTCTTATACCATGCTGGAATTTGACAACCTTCGAGTGCTCCCCAACAACACTGGTGAGATTTCTGTTCGCTTCCTCTTGAATAACCTCCACTACCTTTGTTCTAAAGCTGACCACCTAGGAAAGGCAGATAGGAGGTGTGGGGCAAAGGGTGGAAGGGGTAATATTTAAGCAGCTGACCTGTCAACTTGTGCTGCATCTGCAGTTATGCTTGGGCTGAAATGGGACCCCTTCACTTGCAGGTCCTATTTTTTTATTTTTTTTTCTTGGTGGGCTGAGTGTCTTGTCCTGAGGAGCTCACAAGATATTGCAAATGTTGGTAGACGTCCTCGTGGCATGCCATAAGTTTATCCCACTGTGTGACTTATGAGAGGGATTATTACCAACATTTATTCCTTAAAATGTGTATTCTGTTGCCATATAGGATTTAGGTTCGTATTTAATCCTTAGAAAAACATGCTATCTCAAAGGGCATTTGTCCATTACTCAGTCAATACACCATGTGCCCAATTTAACTTCTTCTTGGGTGCTTGGATTGAGACGTGGCATCCAAATTGTTACTTGCTTTATATTTTCTTTCTGTCTACTAAGATGGTCTAAAAGCCTTTACAGCACACAAAGAACTTGGCTGCAAGGTGTGAGTGTTTATGTGCAAAGACTTCCGCTTCGTTCACAGAAATCAAGCGCGTTGCGGGATATTCAGGTTTTGAGTAGTCAAAAGTACTCAGGCATAAAGTGAATGTTGTTCTGCAAAATTAACTGTTCACTGTGTGAAAAATAAAGGACGTTTTAGTGATACAGCATGAAACCAATCATGTAGCCAAATGAGATTCCAATGTTAGCAGTGCCTTGGGAGAGTTTTTACAGCATTTCGTTTGATTTGTTAAGAAGCTTAGTGAAATTAAGATGGGAGTTTCAGGGTCTCATGTTTGCTCATTAGCTGTCTCATCCAAAGAAATCAGATTTTGAGAAGTGCTATCATCTCCAATATGAAATGATTAGACTTATTATTGTGGGACATGGAGGGTTGTCAGGAGACGAGTAAAGTTAAAAGGCCCAAAGAAATTTGAATTTAAAGTTGACTTCAAGAAAAGCTCCGTCTGTCCCCAAGTGAAGGATTTTCAATTTATTTTTTTTGCCAGCTCCAGATAGACTGGATCTTATTTCTTATTCTTATAGAAAGGTTTCCATCGCCATCCTACTCCAGAAATGTTATTTAACACAGATGTTTCTCTTTGTCACTTGATGTTGGACAACAATGTCTTTTTGACTTGTTAGAGTGGTACAATTTTCTTCAAAATTCAACATACTTTTGCAAATCAACTACCAAAACCAGTTTGGGTCTCTCTGTTCTTTCATGCAGTGGAACTGACAGGTTGCTTTTTTTTCTGAAGTTTATCTAGATCAGTATTGGTGTTATTTGTCTAGCTGTTAATGAGTAACTGGTTCTCTCAGGAACTAGCTGTTTTGAAATTAGCTTGTTTGTCTTGGGTAAGTGTCCTCTCCTCCAGTTTGTAAAAATAACTTCAAAAAAAGACCTGCAATGTCCATGCATGGAAATATATTGCGAACCAGCTGAGTTCAGGTCCCATAGGTAACTCAGAATAACAGTTCACGCAGACACGCTGTAGTTCCAGAAATGATTTAAAAATTGTTAGAATCAAGAAATAATCTCATTTTAGATATTTTTAATGGTATACTGGATTGTTTTAGGCTGTATCTTTTCCACTACACAAGATTCATCTGTATTATTTCCCCTACTAAACCTAATGGCAGTTCTGTCCTCTATAAACCTGAACAGGAAGACATGAAATATTATTTTAATGGACTCAGGACTGTTTCTTACATTCTGAACAATTTTTAAAGCAAAAATTAGAATATTTTCAAATAAGGTCATGTTTTTCTGAAACCAACTGTTTCCTTCTTTGGAATACTATTTCATAAAAATTTTTGGGTGGATTAATAATGTGGAGCACTTCTGGTGCTAAGCTTTCTGCTTCAGGAAGCTGCTATTGTTTTGAGATTTGCCTAGATATGTATTTTGGATTTTCCACCTTTAAGTAGCCCACAATTTGCTAAATATTTTGAGACTAATTCAAAATAAAAAATAGAATCCATTATGGGAGTGGAGAAGGAGTATAAAAAGATTGTGGGTTTTAAATAGAAAGAATGGCAAAAGGAAATGAACAAAAATCAATGTTAATCCTGTCTTTCCTTTATAAAATATGTATTGTAACTGCAGAAATTGTCCCTTTCTGTACAAACCTATTTCCTTTACCTTGGCTGGCATTACAAGCCATATTCTCACTTGTTTTTTTACGTGCTGTTAATATCCATTTCCTCACACTCCTGTCGGAGTTGTCATTTTGCTTAAAATATGAAGCATTATTGAAATATTGCAGTAATGCCTCATCTGAGTGTCGGCGAACACTTTCTCCCACGGTGGTGCTCGTTCTCCCATCTCAGCCCTCAAACAGCACGCTGGTCCTTGGCACTTTGGCACCAGGCTGGTGAAACCCAATTCAGACTGCGAAAAAGCCATCAAAGATATTTTTGACAGTGCCCGAGCATCCCTCAAGCTGAACACACGCTTGCGATGAGCTCTGGCCTGTCTGGCTGGCCTCTTTGTCATCGTTTCTGTAGGATTGGGGAACGCTGGATCAAAGCTGTGTTTTCTATCTCAAAAACTCCTCTTCTGTTTGCTAAAAGCTGAGGTAGAAAGTGGCTGACCTGCGTATGGCCAGGGCCTCAGCGCTTGCCGCCGTCCAGCCCTACATTTGTAAGCACAGATTTCGCAATGCTGGCTTTGACCACCAACTCTGACTGCGTGTGCACGTCCCAAACCCGCGTTTATCATCTTTTTTTGTTCTAGCCCAGCACATGTAATTCAGGGATTTGTTAGCTGTAGCTTAAGTGCGCCAAGACTAGCTTGGATTTCTGGGTAGATAAATCCAAAAGCCATTCAGCAAAGTATTACAAGTTAATTCTACGCAAGGTGCACTTAGAAGAGACGTAGCCAGTAACATAACTGAAAGGAAAAGCAGCAAAGGGATCTGCGGTGGTCAGGTATTGTGCAGAGCTCCAGCTCAGAATAGAAGCCAGACACCATTCCCCAGTAGCATCCTCACTGAGACCATCTTCACTGTCATTTCTTATTGCTGTAAAACTTGTCATCTTTGTTTCCTCCCTGGTTAGGTAATGGCCTTACATATAGAGGCAGTAGGTTACAAAAATTTGTATGCATTTAATTGTGAGCTTGGTTGACCCCAAAGCTGGTGAAGCCAGTGGAACACTCTCATCAGCATTAGGTAGGCTGTAGTTTCTAATCTGCCTGCTGCTTATATATAACTCCCAAAAGATGGGAGTTATATATAAGACTTCAGATTTTTCTGCCACTGAATGTCCAAGACACTCCTAGCGAGAAGCACGGCCACACTGTGGGTCTTCAGCTCATTCTGGGACCCATGCGAGGTCAAGACGAGTTACAGTTTCTTCTTGGAGGACATCCCCAGCTCCGTATCTCCAGAAGAAGTTTCAGAGGCACTGTGGCACGACTTAGAAACTGATCTTTTATGCCATGGCGATGATCATCTATAACGAGTAGATTCTCTCCAGAGTGGTGAGGACAGTTGTGAGCCAGCAGGACTCTGACCAGCCCCTTCCTAGCAGCCCTTGAGCAGCATCTCAGCACGGTGCTCGGCTCCAAAAGAGACACAACGTGGTCAGTGAAACTCTGAGCAGAGCATCACCTTGTGTCAGGCAGGGCTGAAGGAAAGAGTCTGCAGTTCTCCGCTGATTTCGCAGACACGCGGCTGTGCTGGCAGGAGCACTGCCTTTCCTAGCGGTGATCAGGGAAAACCCAGACATTTCCCAGGCACTGCGTTTGTTTGGAAGCCACATGGAAATAGTTTTCTGATACATGTGGTATTGGTTGGGCCTTTGCTCTTCTCTGAGCTGATTCTCAGTTGGAACTCACCATTAGTTGGTGACAGGATTTTGTAATTAAAATTTATCATCGTAATTAACATGTGCAGTTAGGCTTAGGGCTTTCCTTTTCTTTGTGGGTTTTTTTTTTTTTTTTTCAAATTTCTGTTCATGTTCAACCAAGCTGGAAAGGACTCATGGCTACCTAGCAGGGACTAAACTTCCAGCTGTACATGTATCCTAACGCCACCCAACTCAGCTGTAACCCATGGGCTTTTCTGTGTCTTTCATGGGTATAACTGAGGGCAAAACTTGGTTTGCTGACTTCCATGGGCCCTCCAATGCTCAGTGCTGATGGTCCTTCCTCCAGTAACAGTTGGTTTCAGAATGAATTATTAATTTCTTCCTTTTATCAGCAAGCAGCTCCTCACATGTCCTACTCACTTAAGGGGAGAACATTCTTCTCTGGTGAACAAATGCTTTCCATCATCAGGAACATTTTGCAATCTGGACCCAGGTGAAGGATGAAGGGTCCATTGGAGACACAAACTCTATGACCTCATCTTGATTTGTCTTAAGTCAGTAGAGAAAGCATAAGTGGAGTGAGGAGAAAATCGTCCGCCTTATCTTTATTTTTGTTGTGCAATTTTTAAAATAGAAACCAGCATGCTTGGCGCATTTGTTTATGGTCATATGTTTCTTCAAAAAAATAGATGGAGCAACAGATGCACAAACATTTAGCAGTACAGTTACCCTCAAAGGAATATTCCAGTATGGCTTGTTTAATACTGAGTTATCAAGCAAAATAAAACAAAGAATCAATGGAAAAAAACCCCTAAAAATCAATATAAATTACTATTAAGCACCTCTGATGCAGGCAAAGTACCCAAGCACTACTTACTGGTAAATGCCACAGCTGGAAGCACCTTAAATGGATTTTGGCCAACAGGTAAATCTCAGTTCCTGTCGTTATGACCTAAGAATGATTTTGATGTCATTCTTCCTTGTCATGTTTCTCCCATCTTGCTACAACCCACTTATTCATTCATCCATATGTTAGAAGGTGAAACATAGATCAAAAATGTTTTTTAAGGGAGTGAAAGGAAGTCTGACCTTTGCATTCGTGAAGTCTTAGCTAAAAATGTCTGTCTTAGCTAAGAAACTTTTCAGTTTTTTAAAAACCAAATGCTTTATTGGCCTTTTTTTTCCCCTTTGGCTTTTGATTACAACTTTTATTGCATGGCAAATATTTTCACTATAAATTTTTGATGTGTATTCATATACAAAAATAGCCTTCTCTCTCTGTATGTATACATGTTGTGTGTGGATTACCCAAAGCTATTTTTATGCATTATGCATTAGAAAACTTTCCTTAGGCTGTCCGGCTCAGATGCCAATTCCTCCCCTTTGGGTTATTTTCTCTACAATTTGTCATTGCTCAATACAACAGCAGCTGAGCTTTTCTCATCGCCGCCCATCTCTTCTGCGAGGCAGGATGTGTCTTGTCCCAGAGACTTTGCCGAGGTCACTGCGGCACCAGATGAGTTCTCCTGGAGCGAAGAACACGCTCCCAGAGGTGTGAAAAAATCATAAAACTGTCCTGCAGTGAATGCCCAGGTCAGGACAGACTCCACAAACATTCCTTCTCTCAGCGAGATGTAAACACTGTCATCTGCCTCTTCTCAAGTGTCATCTTTTTTTTTTTTTTTTCTTTTTCTTCCCCAAGCTGTGCCTCAAATTAGGAGGATTAAGAAGGCAGCGAGTCTGGTGGTTAAGGCCAAGGGAGAAGTTTAAAGGGGAGTTTTCAGCAGTGTATACACAGGCCAGGCAGGGGCTGAGCTATTCCTGCCCCAAATGAGGAGGTGCAAACAGGGGACATGACAGAGGGCATTCATATGACCTAATTTTAGGTCCCTAATTTACAAGGTTGATCTTCCTGCACTCCTCCATTGCTCTGCAGTGGAAAGCAACAAGCTTCTTCAGAGAGCAATTCAGTGCAGGAACCAGACTTAAGAGAACTAAAGTGACCAGTGGGAGCTGCTCTCTCTCTCTTCCAGCTGCAGAGAAGCTCTCAAGAGCTCCAGCACCTCTGCCAAGTGCCTGAAATACTTCATTCTCTGTCTCTGCTGTCTCTTCTCTGCTTTCTACTTATTCAAGTTAACGATGTTCTTTCCATTGTCTTCTGTGGGCATCAACTTTGAACCATGTTCTCCAGGTGTCTAACTGTAGAGGTGCCTTCCCTCAAAAACATGTATTTCACATCCAGGTAAGGTTTCTCTGCGTCTGCAAGAAAAGTAGTGGTAATTGTTAAATGCTCATGAGTACGTCATGTTATGCAGCTCAAAATCTCTTTGAAGCAGAGGAAAGCACTAATATTAGGAGCAAAGCAACTAAGTTACTCTCAGTTGCAGTTGAGAAGAACCTGATCATCAATCTGGAAGCTTTACTAGCGACATACAGTGCGTGTGCACATGAGTGTGTGGAGCTGCTTTGCTTAAAAAAGCAACTTGCTGTCAGCTGACTCTGGTTTCCATCACAGAAGGGTTTAATGGTCCCTGTTCTCTGCCCGCAGAGGCCATCGCAACCGAATCGGCAAACACCACCCTGCTCGCCAACGGCATCAGCTCCCTCTGCTCCATCTGTGGGGATCGGGCAACCGGCAAACACTACGGGGCATCCAGCTGTGACGGCTGCAAAGGCTTCTTCAGGAGGAGTGTCCGCAAGAATCATGTCTATTCTTGCAGGTACCTGTCCTTTCCGCGGTAAATTAATACAATTTATTGATGCTGTGTATAAATTTGGAGTGGAGATCAGGTTGCACAAGGGGGCTCCTATCCTAAGTGCCAAATCCCCTTTCCACGAATGCTAACAGCAGTACTGCAGTTTAGTTTATGGCTGGAGAACGAGAAGACAAGGAGTGAACTAACTCCTATCTCACCTTTTGTGGCACCTCGCAGTCCGTCTGGTGAGTTCACCATCACTGCTTTTCCCGATGTGTAAATCAAGGGAAACTTACAGACCTGAGATTTGATTGGTGTGTATAATATGTAAGTACAGATTACGGGTGTGGAGTGACATAAAGACCTGATCACAGCCCAACAAGAGAAAGCCAAGGTGTCAAAGGCCCAAAGCTCCAGAAATTTCATCTCAAATGCAGTCTTTCTTGATTTTGCCATTAAAAGCAAGAAGCATCCAAGAGCCTGTCACCTCCAAAACCTCCACCTCCCTCACAACTTCTCATTTTTTTTGTTCTGAAATACATTAAACTGTGTATGCTGATGTATCACTGATGATTTTACAATCATTCTGAGAACTGAGAGTGGACCAGCAATGATTCATATCCACTTTGGCACACAGGTATACATTTACCAGGCGGAGGCTATAAATTTTAAAGTAGCTATCTTGGTTGACCTTAGAAGAACGGTGTTTATTTTAGCACAGAAGGAAGGGGAAAAAAAGGGCCCCTGAATACATTCAAACCCATTATCTCTAATTAAAACCTGGAAGCTTTTTTTCTGTTCCAGAGCTCTTTAAGGGCATTCCAAATTTTTGCAATGCAAGTCACCTTGTTTGTTCAAAACGCTGCTGGAGTCCTTATCACTCCAGGACACAGCAGCCATGAAAAACACCAGGGCTGACAGCAGTGTCCACCCACATGGTGCACATCCCAAGAACTGTAGGATCTCTACAGGAGGAAGCAACAGCTACTACTGATTCCTTTGAAATCTCAGCTCTCAGTCCCCTGGGAGCGGAGCTGTTGCCCCTCCCCAGGAATTCATGAATCCTTGTGATATTTGGCAGCTCAAGGAAGATCTGCAGTATTGAAGCCAAGCAAATGGCAAATGCTCCCTTGTCCACAAACCCTTATTTGGTGAGATGCGCGGTATTTAGCCCGGCTTGGAGCTCTGTTGTTTATCGCAGATATTAATTCCTTGGAAAGTCTTTGTACCTTTGGCTTTTTACCAGTCTGGGAAAGTGCCTCAGCTTTTACAACCCAGTGATGGCCCCGGAGCATCCTACGCCGTCTTCTCTCTGCACGGCAGATTCCTCTTCCATTGCTTCACCCACTATGGCAAGAGTTGTCAAGCCTGCACGGGCCACCCCTTGAACAGCGCATAGGTTTCTAAATCCCCTGTTGAAATTAATAGGAATTAGGGGAATTAGGGGGCCATGTGCCTCGAAACTAGGCTGCAGAGGCAAAAGGTCTTGTGGTCCATAGCGTAATTATTCTACACAAAGCAGGACAGTGCTAATAGATGAGTTCAGACAAAGCCTGACACCAAACACCCGATAACGATCTGAAAGTGGGGAATGGAGCTCCCCCGGCAGCACAACTTGAGGCACACTCTCGCTTTCACAGCCAAAATCATCACAGTCCTCCCAGGGTGGGTGGTCTGAAATCGCTGCGCTCCCAGCTGGCGGGAACGGCGGTGGGGAATACGAGGAGTTGGTCCAAGCCGGCGTTGATTCAATCTGTTTCTCGCAAACCTTTGACTCTTCTCTAGGTTAATGCAGAATGTAGCTCAGTGAGGTTTGAGGCTGCACTGGCTGAGTGGGGTGCACATGCCAGGCTGGTGGCTTCATGTTTTATCTCTCATCTCCTCCCAGGTTCAGCCGACAGTGTGTGATAGACAAAGACAAGAGGAACCAGTGCAGGTACTGCAGGCTGAAGAAGTGCTTCAGAGCTGGCATGAAGAAAGAAGGTATGTGCAAAGAGACATTTCAAAGCCACCTGCTGCTGGCTCTGGCCCTGCTCCCACTGCAGACTATGGTGGAGAGCAGCGACAGCCCTGACCCGGAGCGATGATGCTCATGTGTTGCAGTAGGAGATTTCTTGCTGTTGTAGCTGAAAGCCCCACTGGAAATGTCAAAGAGAGCCTTATGACAGTATTCACTCATCCTGGGAGGCTGGTGTCTTTGGGATATTTTTATGCTGGGAAAAGGATGAGTTTCCTCAGGGTTTGTTTGGTCTCTAAGTTCTTCACGACAGCAATACCTTTGCTACATACATGCTAGTGCAACTCCTAATCCCAGCTGTGACACTCTCCCCAAGTATCTGCCATCCTCATTCTCACAATACAGCCAGCCTCCCTGGGAAAGTTTTGGACCTGTCATAGCATTTCTGATCTCTGCTCATTTAGTCTTTACACAGTGGGAGAGTGTGGACGATCCTACTTTACTTATGCTACGCTTCCCAGGCAGAGTCTGCACACTGACCGCTTAGTAAATTGGGGCCCCAACCCACAATGGCTGGTACATCTCCCTGATGTGCAGGTAGTTGGGTGGTGGTTTCAGCACTCATCACCCTACATTTGTGTTGTTTTCCACCCCATCGACAGCTAAAGAATGAGAAAGCTAGAAAGGAACTTGAAAATTTCTTTCCACACCACCAAGGGGTGAAATCATGGTCCCACTGAAACCAAGGGGAGATTTGTTACTGATTTCTGGTAATTCATAAGATTTCACTGGCAATGAAAATCTTTCCAACCTTCTGACCACATGTTTTCTTGGAGAATAAGGGTGTCTTGACATTTGGCATAAGTCATGGATGTAGCAAAAATGCCTGCTGGTTTAGTTTAGTAGCAATGGAGTAAATACAGCACACGGGGAAAAAATCAATTAAGACCAAATTAATAAATTAATGAAGACCAAACTAAAGTTGATCTGCTAATTTCTGGGTGGGGATGAAGTCAACTGCCAATGCAGCAGGCTGCACAGCTTGGAAAGGCTGAAATCTGGTTATCAGCTCCATTCTTTGAGCTGAAGCATGATTTTTATTGGGTTTATGGCGAAAGATATAAACCCTTGGCTCATGCCTTCATTATTGATTGCAGCTCAGTGGAAGATGACTCATTGCAAGTTCCACATAGTCACATTCTTTGAAACTTTTTTTATGGGTGCACAGTCAGGTGGTGTGCTCACAAACTGCTCATGTGTTTGGTAAGGAAGATTTTAAAGCACCTTGAGCAACTGTTTTGCGGAAATTAGCCTAGCTGACCAGAGCTATATCCAAAGCATGTGTCCAGGACTGTGAAAGAAATTTTCTTGCACAATTGTGTGCACAAAAAAAAAGAAGAACACAGTTATTTGCTTTAGGGTGGTTCTAGATTAATATTAAACAGTATTGTGAAGTGTTAGGGAAAAAAGCCGTGCCTTGGGATAGAGCAGTGTGAGGTGACACAGATGTTTGGTGGCTTGCACCAACCCATGTTGGGAGACCACAGCTGTGACATCCACCCTTAGTGTGTCCCCTTGCCCCAGCGCTGACTGGCACGCAAGGGTTTGACACTTTTCACTTTTCAGCCAGCCCGTGTAGCAGCAATCGGACTTTCCAGGGTGTGGTAATAACATTGTTTATTCACAGTAGAGGGGAAGGAGCTGGAAACTGTCCTTTTCCCAGCCTATCTCTGACAGTACACCTGGGGTGGAGTTGGCGGAGTTGTGTCACCCTCGCATGCTGACCCACTGCTCGACGGGTGGGTGTGCAATATGGGAAAACTTGCTGTTCCCCAGCAAAACTAACTGATAAACTGGAATTTTGGATTGAGAGTAATTTTTTTTCCGGTTTTCCTGTGTTGTAAGATGTGATACGACACATTCGGATTTTTCTTTCTCTCTTTTTTACCCTGTTGAAAACAACTTAAGTTCATAAGAGATTGAGAGGGGCTCTATTCTCTGGCCTGGCAAAGTGAAATACGAATACCCGAGTTGGTTTTAAACTGGGTGTCTATGGGGGCAGCAGAGTCGTTGTAGGGCTGTGAGGGTCTTGGCATGAGCTGGTCCCAGCAGCATAATCGGTCAGGATCACTGTGGGTTTGGGGCACCCGGGCAGAGGTCATTGAGAAAAGCATCAGTAGGGCCCTCTAGATTGTCTTGTTTGTACACTGTGCATTTGGTCCTGCTTTCAGAAAGGACCCACAGATGAGCCCTATGTCTCCAGGCTTGTGAACTGAGATGGCATCTAGTTTCCATCAGTGCCAGTGAGAGCAGGAGCGGGCCAAAACTTGAGTCTTGTGAAAAATCCGGTCCCCAGATTTCCTAGAAATTAGCTCATTCAGAAACTCTTACGCTGAATACATTTTCAGTATCAATAATTCACTTTAATAACTGCAAGTAAACCATCAGTAAAGTTGGGATGAGGGCGGAGGAGAAGACTTACTTGAAACCAAACCTCTTCTTGTCTCCTGAAATGTCACCATGATCAGGATTTAGGATTTTTACAGGAGATCACTTCTTTATTCTTGTTTTGTGATTAAGGCTGGGACTATTAAGGTGGTCTGGGTCTTTGGGGGATTTTCTGGCTGTTCTCTCTGGTTTTCTCTCCTTCTCACAGAAGAAGGTTCAATTTCTATTGTTTTGCACAATGCTGCTGGACAGGTTTTTGGCCACTACGCTATCAGTGCACGAGGAATGCACCAGATACTTCAACACCTGAAGAAAACAGCAGGATACTATTTTTATCATCTTACTGAGATCATGTTTAACCTTGAATGAATTAGCAGGGTGTGATTTTTCAAGTGAGCCAGGTCACCTACTCACATGATGTTGAGCACCTGAAAACCTGGAAGCTTTTGAAACACCAGCACTGCACTGTCAGGATTCAGTTGTTGGTGAAAACAAGAGGCGTTAATATTTAACCTCTCATCCCCTTTAAAGTAATTTATGAATGTACATGAACTCCTTTAGTCTTATGCAGAAGTAAAAAGAATTATTGTATCACGTACTCCCACAACACAGTGGGAGAATTTGAGGCCATTCTTTCATTCATTTTTGTTAAACTGGACAGATTTATAAGACAGTTTTGTTAGTGTTTCACAGGACTTTAATCTTGTTTCATACCTTTTGTTTGCACATCTCTTCTGTCAGCTTTCAAAAGACTGGGACTGCAGTTTGTTGCAATGATAGATAGAAAAGATAAAGGGTCTTCCCTAATTTGTGATAGTCATAATATGGGCCAAGAGCCCCTGAAAGGATTAAATATGCATGTACAACTGGGATTTATTTGCAAATAAAATACACCACAAAAAAACCCACAAAATCAGAGGTAGCCTGAGGAAAAATAAATAAATAAGTGTGCATATAAATCAATCAGGTAGCAACAGGAATAAATCTATCGATGGAGGCAGGTGAGCACTGGTGAGGGCGAGCACCATGCTGGGGCACCTTGATGCCATTTCTTAAAACATTTCCAACTCCATCAGTGTTAAATGAGGATGATTTTAGTGAAATAATAATGGGAACAATAACTCCCATGTAGGCAGGGCTTTAGCCTCTGCCGTTCCCATGGAAAGTTACTGGTTTGCTGCTGTCCCCTTCCAATCACTGCCTGTGCCTGAATTTATTGGACTCCCCGGAGGTTCCTCATCCCAGGCTCTGTACCTATGTGGCAAGGAGGCAAGGACAAAATGTTTGGGGAACGCAGATTTGTTGCAATCCCACAAACACATGGCTGTTTGCTCAAGAGCCGCAGCCTGCTCGGCCGCCGGCATCCTTGATGCGCTCACGGCAAAAGGGCTCAGGCTTGCTCTGAGTAACAAAACCCCCTCTGACGGCTCCTCTATGTCAGACAGAGAAGATGTTTGCTTTCCCATTGGCTTCCATCTGTTGGGACAATTCCCTGGAGGGAGAAGCGGGCACTGGCTTGTTCTCTCCCTTTTCCCAGTGGTGGCGCGATCCCGCTGAAGTCCCCTCGTGCAGGGCTGGGGTGGCCCTTCCCAGTGTTTATTAGCTTTGGGAACTGCAGAGGACAAGATTAGAGAAAAGCAAAGCTTTTGCTAAGCATATACTGGAAATAGTAGTTCCTGGGAGACAGCAGGATCCAGCAGTAGGATTTTAGTCCTTCCTGGGCGTTTGCTGGGTTTTATTGAGTGCAAAGCCAAGATCATGTCTCAGCCCAAGCACTCTCCGTACCAGTGCACTCCTCGAGCATTCCCGATGCCTCACCACAAGTGACCTATCCCTTCCCTTTTACAAGCACAATAAATATAGCAATATAATTACCACACAGTGATAGATTGATTTTGTGGCAGGTAAAACATTAACTCCCTTTTATACCTAATTCCATCACATCTTGGGTACTTCCAGTGATAACACCCAAATCACCTTGAGAAAGTCAGTCTGTACCATCCACTTACACTTAAAGACTGAGCTTATCAGAGCATGAGGGAAGCACTGAAATATGTGCCATAAAAGGACCTGGAAGAAAAACAGGCTAAGGATTCTTAAAGGTGTCAGTCATCAGAGACTAGGACCAGGTCTGATGGGTTGTAGGACTTAGGTGAAATGTGTAACTTGCAAAATTTATACCATTTCTTCTATGTGGGCGAAAAGAGCCCTATCGCTCTCAGAGAACTACATGAGGGAGCATCGGATACAAAACCAAGCATAGAAGATTGAGTGGGGACTTTCCAAGGACATCAGTGGTGACATGGAATCAGGTGGGCTTGTTTCTGCTCAGTGCTGGATGTTGCTGTTTGTCCTTCTGCTGTATCAGAAAAAAAAGCCTGAAGGGTTAATCTATTCTGAAGACAAATCTTACATTATGGTTCCTATAACCACTTTCACCTTCAGACTGGCGGGGATCCCCAGCTGAGCAGAATTTGGCATCACCACCCCCGTGCATACGGTAATGGATGCTGTTTAAGGCAGGTTAGCTGAGCCTCCCAAAGGGCTGTAGTTTTTTCCTCTAAATTGATGTTTAATTGGCCCTATGTAGTATCCATAGCATGAAAAGGCTGCAGTGATAGGTACCTATGGTGCATCTTCTACCAACCGATGTACCCATAGAGCCCCTTGCAGCCATTCAGGCAGGATTGTCTCTGAGGTGCAAAATTGGTGGCTGGACCCCAGCAGAGCCCCCCCAAGCACACGCAGCTCAACAGCAAGGAAAATAAATATTACACTCCCGCAGATAACAGGAGATATTGATTTGTGTCACTGTTGCTTGTTTTCTGCCCTTTCACTTTGTTGGCCTCTCAGCAGAGGCCAGTTAGGAAACCAGATCAGTGGTGGGACCCGAGCTGACATAGAAACCCACCCAGGATCTCGTGTGTGAAGCGGTGACCACATCCCCTCCTTTGCAGGAATTCAGAGAGATGTGCCCCATGCAAAGAGTGGTGCTCACTTTAAAGCAAGGCCCAGCAGTGAGGCAAAGTCTTGCAGAAAAGTGATGGTGAAATGATTTTGTTGATTCTGCCAAAAACAAATCTTTGTTGGAAAAATCTTCTCCAGCAACCACTTTTGAGATAAAACTGCACCATTTCACATCCGAGGGGGTTAAAGCACAGAGTGAGCCATGCTTTGACAGCTATGTCTGAGTCATTCCCCCTAAATAAAATGAAAAGGAGCCTGGAATTGCTGTATGAAGGAGGAGGGATGTGCTGCATTATCACCACATGCTAAATCTTCCCGCTCTCTCTGCTTTAAGGACCTGACAGTTGCTTTCTGAGCTGTACGTAGCCGAGACATATGAGCTGTTAGGAAAACGCAGAGTCTGCATTCAAGCTCCTTCCTCCAGCCCCGTGTGGGCTTTTTTGCTGCTGGATGAAGGCAATAGATCTTGGGGGAGAAATGAAGACTGAAATTGGACTGAGTGTAAACTCGGTGTTTTTCTCTGCTGCTGTTTTACTTGATGGCGAGTCAGTTCTTGGAGTACTGTGCTGCAAAAATAAGCTGCCGAAGTGCAATAAATCCCTTATGTTCGACGTGCAGGGTTGATGGAGCATGGGACTCAATGTGGTTTGTGCTTCAGGGAAAAGGATTTAAAGGATTTCAAAATATCAGTGTGGGTTTTTTTTGTTTTTTTTTTGTCTGATTCCCCATGGCATGGCCATACCTTTCTGTCTGCAAAAGGCCCAGGGCTCATCTTTACTCTGTGTGGTCACTATAGGGTGCCCAAGTTGTATCACTGCTATTAACAGGTGAAGACACCCTGAGCTGATTTGCAGCAGTGGTTTGCACAGGGTGCCAGCAAGGCTGGAGACACAACCAGGCTCCCTCAGCTCTGTGCTGGCATCACCATCAGCGTTACAGGCTCATCGAAACCCATGATGTGATGGGCAAGGCTGAGGGAATGGTTTTAAGGGGGCATAGTGGAATTTAAGCTTCCTTTCTTTGGACCTTCCTTAATGAGGTGATTCTTTGTGTTCCCCGTGAGTGGTGATATCCCCTGGGGACCTTCAAAGCCTCAGGGCCAGGGGACACTTCAAGGCTGCTTTGCAGCGGGATCAGAGGACAATTTTTCTAGTGCTGCCGTGGGACAATGTGAAACCTCCAGCGCATCCTGCTGTACTGGGAGCTCAGGAGAGCAGTCCTCAGTGCAGACATGGCAGAAAGGGTATCAGAGGCCAGGCCTCCAGCAGTGTAGATGCATCACCAAGTGAAAAGGGTCAGCATGAAACCCCCAAACTACCCCTGGTCTTCATCAAACCCAGTGGGACCAGCTGATGTCCCTGTGGCTTTATCTCCCTCTGTTGCTCCTGTGCTTGGTCTTCTCCCTTCTTCCCTCTCTGGTGACATGTTCCCCTCCTTCTGGCCCTGTTTAATCATTTTCCAGCATCCAACAAGAGTGTAGGGTCTTGCAGGCGCTAAAGCTCTGTCCACTTCTGTTTGGGGACCACATGTAACAGCAGCCACGGGTCGTATGGGAAAGTTCTTGCTGACAGAGCCACTCTCATTTCAGCCGTGCAGAACGAGCGTGACAGGATCAGCATTCGCAGGAGCAGCTATGAAGACAACGGCTCGCTCTCCATCAACGTGCTCACTCAGGCCGAGGCCATGGCACAGCAGGTATGAAACGGGGGCACAGCCCTCCAAGCGAGGACCTGGCCTTCAGCTATTCCCTGTGGGGGTTATGAACTCACTAAACCAACTGGCTCTCTTTCCGCTCTTGGATGGCTCTTGCACAAAAACAAGGGGAAGAAAATGCATTAGGGATATCCAAAAGCAGACAGTAAAAATCCGTGGTGTGTTATCAAGATAACACGTCCCGCAACAAGCAGACACAGCCTTTGGCTTGTGAGATGCAAAGCTGAAATTCCAAGGGCTGAGGGATGGTGCAGACCCTAGTTTTCCTCTGCTCCCAGTCTGATTTTTTGCTGCACTCCTGAAGATTCACTGCATTTCATGCAGAAGTTCATCCCTCCCTGCTGCATACTCTGTCCTACTCAGAACATAATGTTCCCGTCATGGTCAATTATATCTTTTCTTGTAACTTCTTTACTAGGGCAACAATTTGAGGGAAGAAAAATAAAGCTAATAAAATTGCTGGGCTTCAAGTAACACTGATTGCTTTCTTATTTCATGTTCCACAGCGAATTTCACCCTGCGTCTCCTTTAAATTCTTATGCAAATACCCCTTCTCTACTGAAACATATGGTCCAGATGTTGCGTATTACATGCAGCAATGCATGCGCTTCCTTTTCAAAAATTATTGTTTTAACCCTCTCGTCCAGGCACAGCTCTTCAGAGACAGAAATGAGTGTTTTGTGTCCCAGACAGAAACCTGGATGCGTTTCATGCATTTGGCTGGCTTAAGTGATTGATGGGAAACTGAGACCCAATGCTGCTGGCTACTGCTAGAAATAGGAATATTAATTAGATTTTGTCCTGAGCCAGCCTAGGGAGTGAGGAAGGAGGAGGAGGAGGGAGGGGTGTCTGTTGGGACTGAGCACCACCTCGTGGAGGCTTCATCATGGGCTGTACATTGGACAGTACACACTGCTGAGCAAGCAAGCTCGCAACCAGAATGGCAACCGTCTTGATGATGACCTAAGGAGGTTAATGCCTGGGAAGGCTCCGCATATTATCCATGAATTGTTGCTGTTGAGGATGGCAAAAGAGTGCAGATCTGGTTCCGATGCAGCTGAGTTGTTTCTCTTTCAGTATTCGTCGCCGAGTCCTGTGCACAGCGCCGACATTGCTATGAAGAAGGTTGCAACCATCAATGACGTGTGTGAGTCCATGAAACAGCAGCTTCTGGTGCTGGTTGAATGGGCAAAATATATCCCGGCGTTTTGTGAGCTCCCACTTGATGACCAGGTAAAAACACAAATGCCTCTTCCCTGCAAACCCACCACCTTTGAGAGAAGTTTCCAGAGATACCTTTCAATAGGAAAATCTGACATTAATATATAGATCACCCTGTGCAGAGCAACATGCCAGGAGAAGAGAAAGAGTAATCAAGGACAAGGGATTGATTAAAAATAAATTGAGTAGCCAAAGGCCCACAGAATATAATAGAGCTGGTCACTCGCGTCTGCACAAGGACCCAATCAAAAAAGACTGGTTTTCTTTTTATTGGTACCTGATAGTTGAATATAAAAGCCATTTATTTCCCATGTCTGCAAATTACTCAAGACCCTCTTGGGTCTTTCAGTTGAAAACAACTTTTTTATTTAGTTTGCCATGAACTTAGCACTTTTGAAAAATGAAGATATACTAATTATTTCTGGCTATTAATAGTACTTTATCTGTAGATCTCACATACCTAAGCAAACACTAATTTTGGCTCAGTCTAAACAATCTCAGCTTTTCATATGTAATATTATTTCCATCTTCTGTGCCATCTCCAGGTTGCCTTGCTCAGAGCCCATGCAGGGGAACACCTGCTCCTGGGGGTAGCCAAGCGATCCATACCATTCACTGACTTTCTGCTATTAGGTAAGTAGAGAAATACTTTCCCGTTTTTAGAATTTGCGCACCCGAGTCGTTGCCAAGTGCCCTGGGCATGCTCTGCACATCTGGCTTTAGACCAAGGGCTTCAGAAGGTCTCAGGATGTCCTGGTTTGAGAGCACCTGGATAAACGTTCTCTGGAGCTGCACGGACCATGTGGCAATCCCAATGGGGCAGGCGAGCAGCTGTGCCTATGGGGAGGATGGGTCAGGTGACCCAAATGGACCAATCACGGTGCTCCTTCCCATGGTGCTCGGTATATAAGGGCCCCTAAAGAGAACCATGTTGCTTTTAGTGCCATCTGTGCTGAAAGGGTTGCAATTGGCTCTTTGTCATCTCTCCTTGTGCTGCTGGTGTTCCTGCCTCCTGTTTGCTGGCTGCAGGGGAGCACTGTTCAACAGGACAGGGTGTCTTGCCCTGCCTCGCCAGGTGGGAGCAGCACAGTTCCTTTTCTGTGGTCTTTTTTTGGACTCTCATTGGGTCTCTGTCTGGGCTTGGGCACTCCCGTCTGCTACCTAGTCCAGTCTGAGGCTCTATTATTTATTTTTTTTTTGCTCAGGATCTTCTTGTCACCTCTATTAACATATTCTCTTGTTTCTTAGAGTATATTTTCATACTTGTATATATCTGCATATACTGTGGTGTTTTCATTGTTATTGTCAGCATTTTTTTTTTCATTAAGCTGGTTCAAGTTTTTTTTTCAATCTCAAAATCTCTCTCTCTGGTTCCCCTGTTATCCTCCCCTGGGTGTGTCTGCCCAAGTTTAGTGGCAAGCTCCGCCTTAAATTTTGATACAGGAGAAGCATAAAAAAGAGCAAGCAAATTCACTGGGTCTTTTACAACCGTTCCCTTACTGCTTTGAAATTGTGGATGAGAAACCCCCCAGTATTAAATGACATGTAAAAATGCATTGCTTTTTTTTGTAACTGAAACTGCCAAGATACAAGCAGTGAGTTATTTGGGTACTGGTGCTTAAAAACTTAGGAGAAAGGTCTAATAGAAATTATAGTGCAAATTGGTATTTACTTTTCATGTAGCTCTCTGCCACCAAAATCACAGGTGGAATTATTCTTGGAAAAAATAAAATACTCATCTCGAAAGCTACACATTAAAGAAAAGGGAGAGGGAGAACTTTGTTTAAAAACAACCACACTGATAAAAAAGATGCAACACCACTGGCAAAGAGAAGCTGGGTATAACAGAGGGTAAACCAGAGCAGAACATGGAGCAGGCTTTGTGGACAGTGTGGGTGCACGGACGTGTGCAAATGAGATAATTAAGAGCCCAAGAATGAGATTCCACAGCTTGTTTCTCCGTCGTGGATCTGAGCATGAAGTTGTACACTGGAAATCTGCTGCACGTAGGCACTGGGACTGTCTGGCAACACGCCTTGGGGTAACTTCTGAATGAGACTCTGTCTGCAGAGCTAGAGTGAAAGCCTGAGGGAGAATTTCTCTTATCTCCCCAGGGAATGACTTCATCATCCCAATGCACTGCCCAGAACTGGAAATCGCTCGTGTGGCCACCAGAATCTTGGATGAGTTGGTGAAGCCCTTGCGGGACATCCAGATCGACGACAATGAGTACGCTTGCCTTAAAGCCATCATCTTCTTTGATCCAGGTAAGTTTCCTTCCTGGCTGCCAAGCATGGGGCTTGAAAAGGAGTTGAGGGCTCTCCCGTATCCAGGAAAACCCCTTGGCAGCAGCTCCACATTTCACCCTGCCTCTGCTGTAAGGAGCAGTGCTTCGCAGTGCAGCAAGGACATGTGAGAAGTGACCTACTCCTGAACTATTTAGCAAGTATTAACTCCAGCCAGTCCAATCTGCAAGAATCTGCACATCCTAGAGGGGTTTTGCTGCTGCTGTAGCTTGGCTTCAGGAAAGCCCATCAGCCTGAAATGAAGGAGATGACTATTAAGGACATATATGCCTATATTGAATTATGCATAAGTGAAGTGAGTCAGCTGAGCAGCAGTGTGGAGCATCCACCAGAGCTGAGAAAGCAGCATTAAAAACCACAAAGCGCTGGACTGTTCAGAGTAATTCAGAAATATCAAGCCTATCTGTTAATGGATCTTGCCGGCAGCTGGTAATGATCGAGGGCAGGGCTGAGGGAGAACAGGGAAACACAAGGAGGTAAACAAAAGTTTGTTTTGAACTTCTGCTGTATTCATTCCACAGACACAGGGGGTTCTGTCTCAGCCCAGACTCCCCCCAAACATTCCTGCAGCACACACACAACCTCCTCTGGGCACAACACCCCAGTCCCTTTAGCGTGCATTGCCCTGTAGCGTGGAGAAGAGGTGGGGGAGCAATCCCAAATGCAGAACAATGTCCTTTTGTCTTTGGTATCTATTAGCAGTGAGAAATGAGAGTGTTTTCCATCAGTTACTTTCTGCTCTGTTCACTTATTCAAAATCAAGATACGGAAGTTTTACAAACAGCATGAATTTTCACTTGCCAAAGAGCCTGAGTAAGGGTGATATTATCAAATTGAGTTTGACAAATTACCTTCTCGGTTGATCAGTATCTCAGTGAAGCTTTAGATCATCCTGACAGCGAGGTGCTGGGAAAAGCATGAAGGTCTACAGAAGAGAAATTTATTAATGCTAACTAGTAGGCTTGTCCATAGATGTGCTGACATGCGATGATTTGTTCACCACTTTATCTAATCTCTTGGCATGATGATCCCTAAAAAACATGGTTCTTGTGAATGCTTTGTAGACAGTGAAGGAAAAAAGTGAAGGAGCTGGAAATCTGAGTTTTAGACAGCAGGAGAGGCAGGAGTGCAAAGCTGTAAATCCCAGCACTTCAGCACATTCACTCACTGAAGCAAAACTGGACCAGTGGTCCATGAAGAATGGATTGACCAGAGGTCAAAGACAGGAAATCAAGACAAGACTCTGATGCTGCAGCAGGTGTAATGACAACATATAGGTACTAAACCTGCATGGACTTAATGGCAAAGTTTTCAGGGGAAAATTCCAGGCTGTTTCCTTGGGAGGACAAATATGGTTCAACTTCTAAAATCCTCATCACTAACGGCAGCAGCCAGACACATCCATCTGAAGTGAGCTCTTATCTTCTTAGTATTTCCCCTGAAATAACTGTTTCTTCTCAAATTCCCCTTCCTATTTCCCTATTCCATGTAAGATACGAAAAAGTGCCAGCCCAATGCTAATCTGTCAGATAAGCTTGGAGACTGACAGGTAATTTTCAGAACATCCCTGGCGTCTCATCCTTTTCCCTCTCCAGAGCCCAAGGGATGGTGTAACACTTTTTGGTCACACAGGCCAGCAACTGACTTTATTTTTTCCCCTTCCAGACTGCAAAGGCCTGAGTGAGCCTGGCAAGGTGAAGAACATGCGCTTCCAGGTCCAAGTCAACCTAGAAGACTACATCAACGATCGTCAGTATGATTCCCGAGGCCGGTTCAGCGACATCCTCCTCCTGCTGCCCCCGCTGCAGAGCATCACCTGGCAGATGATCGAGCAAGTCCAGTTTGTGAAGCTCTTCGGTGTGGCCAGGATTGACAGCTTGCTGCAGGAGATGCTGCTGGGAGGTACGAACCCTGCTGAGAAAGGGCAGCAAAGCTGATTTATTTTGAAGCTGTTACACGGCTTCGCGTCTGCGTTTGTGTCCTTCTCTGGAGGAGGTATGATAAAAAAAGTTAGTCTTGGGAGGAACTAAGTGAAAGCTCAGGTTGACTTGCAGCTTAAACACGGGTCCTTCTCACTCCAGACCAAGCCCCGAGCCATTTTTTAACAGCCTATCCCTGAAAAGCTGAACCAGGATCAGTTTATAGAAATGCAGTTCTTTGCACCAGGGGGAACTTGACTTTTAGGACCTACCAACTCGACGCAGTTTGCAAGACAACACATTTTTGTTGGCAATATGGAAAAGTGGTAACTCTACGGGAAACCCTGATATAAAGTAATTGGGACACACACACAGACAGATGGACAGCAAAGCTGGATCTTAGTTGCAACTCCAGGCATCATGGGAGGTTGTCCCCAGACAGTGAGAAGGCTGAGGGCAAAAAGGACAGCTGGAGCAGGAAGGAAGCAAAGATGAGCCAGGACATTAACCTTCAACCACAGAGGCCTTTCACATTCACTGAAACAAAGAGATTTGGCCCAAAGCATCTGGCTTCTCAGTAACTATGCAAAAAAATGACATGTTTCTTTTTTTCCCCACTTCCACTGCAGGAAACACCATTGATCTCCAGTACCAGTCAGGACCTCCCAACCTCAACCTGGACCCACTGCCAGGACACGTCCTCCAAAGCAACATGAGCTCTGTGATTCACACTGTGCCAGACCGTAAGTGTCCATTTTTATTTTATTAGTGTCAGCTTAATGAAGGGATGGGATAGGAGAAGCAGCCCAGAAAGAGACCTTTAAGTTTTTTTATATGTTTAGGCATTACACTTGAATCGGAGTTCACAGCCCCCCTTGCTGATTGCCTTCACTCTGCAGCCTGGGAACATGCTTCCAAAGAGAAGCTGACATTTTTATCTAATAGCATGATCCAGAGGGGTTTGAGATGCCACTAAACACCACGAGATTTAAAAAAAAAAAAAGAAATCAAGATTGGTGACAGCATGTTTCTATGAACACAGGCAGCACTGGGAAATACCACAAAGCAGCACACACAGTTATTAGTGGCAAGAGTTTCCTCACATAAAGCATCTCGGTTGTCGTCTATCAGAACACAATATTACCTGAATATAAGATCATCTTCAACCACTCTGGGCGTTGCTGCCAGGCAATGAGTATTTGTTAAGGCATTTACCCACTGTAGTTGCAAATGGACCGTGCTATTAAAAAAAAAAAAGTAGAATGCGAGTTGCAATTTAACAACGGCTGCCACGTAATCATGATGCCTTGAACACACAATCTCCTTCTGCCAGTTATGATCACCTACCTCTCGTAGCGTATTTTGCTGTTTCTCAGCCATATAAACGTTGGCAACATGCATTTTAGCTTTTTTTGTTGTTGTTTTTTTTCCTAAGCTATCTTGCAGCAAGGGAGACGAGAGAGATGCTGTGTTCTGTAAATGAAGTGTAGTAGCCGGCAGGCTGAGCTCTCCTCTGACAAGGAGAGGAAGGACTGAAAAGCAATTGGGGGCATTTCCCAAGTGCAAAATTACTGAGAAGAACTGGTTTGTGCCTATCAGTCCATCCTGTGCCTCATCACACACACAGAGGAAGAAAATGCTGGAACGTGCCTGAATTTAAGCTGGAGCCCTCTGCCCCAAGCTCCCGCTCCTTGGTTCATAGGATGGCTTGCCAATTTTATTTGGGCACTGCTCCACTGAACAGCGTTTGAAACCACATTAATTCTGTTTCTTTTCTCTCCCACAGCATCTCCTGAAACATCCCTTCCATCTCCTGCAAGCACAGGCAGTGAAGACTATAAATTAGGCTCTAGCGCAGGACCCAGCGCTGTAGCGCAGCTCTTGCCTCAGACAGTGATACCCAAGCAGGAGATTTTATAGGGAGAGGTGAAAGGAGAAGCTGGGAGCAATGTGAGAACCGTGCTGAAAGTGAAACGGGCCCTTTCTCTTTGCAGAGGCAAAGCACAGCAACCCTCTGCCTGTAGCCGGATCTGTCGGTCACACCCTTTCCCGTCCGTGAGTCAAGCACGAGGTACCAGACTGCAGCAGGAGCCTCACCGCGCGTCTTCCCACCATCACCATCCTCGTTTCACCCCCATTTCATGGGGTTCAAGCTCTTTTCAGTAGGACCGTGACTGTGAGCTCGTTGGAGCAGGGCTTCCAACCGCATTCATTATCACTTAGCTCGGTGTGATCACAACCCTTTTAAAGCCTTCGGCTGCTATCCCCATGAAACCAAATGCCTTGCACAGCTCCTGGTAATTGTTAACGAGTGCAGCGTGCCTTGAATTGTCAGGATGAAAAGGTCTATTCCCATTAAAAACTTAATTACACTCCCATTTCTCCTGCTGCACGTTAAGCTTGAGGAAGAATAGCTTCATAACCCTTAGCAGGCCCACACTTTCTTATTCCACAAGGATGCATCTGGTTCCACATCGGCCAGCTAACATTTAACGCCGGTCAGTTATTATTTGTGCCCAGGGATGCCAACATTTTGTAATATTCCAGAATTTCCAGTATATCTAAAGTCCAGCTGTGAGTCATTTGATGCGTCGTCTATGTTGCGTGCGCATCTAACGCAGCCCCAAGATGACAGTGAGGACCTCTGCAATCAGACCAGGGCTGCTGGCTCTGGTAAAACTCCTGAAACTGTTGACTGCCTTACCAAATCACTGTTTGTACCTTCTGCAAACTTTTATCACAAACATATCTGGAAGAAACAACAAAAATGCCCCCCCCCAAAACCCCTCTTCCCAGTCCAGAGATGTGATTTTGCTGTAGTTTTAGATGTCTTTGTAATTTCTGCAAGCTAAACTTCAAAGCTCTAAATTAACCAGAAAAGGAAGAGGCAGGTCTGCTAAGAGCCATTTATTTTTTAGAAAAACACTTGTATTTAAAACATAAGGTGCTTCTGCACTTAAAAATCAGCGGCAGGTGACCAGGTATTAACCATGTTACAACTACTTAAAATAAGCCCAAGAGACGACTCTGCAACCTCAGTGTTCCTTGTGTTACGGTGTTTGTTTGCATGAAGTGGACTTCACCAGAAAGCAGATTGCCAGAGGCCCACAGAGCTTGTGCTCATCTGTGTAAAAGCTCAACGAACTCGGTCAGACAGCTCGGGGGGTTACGGGTGGCTGTACCGAACAGCAGGACACGATGGGCAATTCTCAGTTCTGCCACACTGCACAAATCCAGCAACTCGTGCATCCCTGTTTGTGGCAAAAAAACCTGAGGTGACAGTGCCCAGCTATGGCTTTGTGAAGCTTTTAATTCACTAGTGCTCATGAAGCACTTTGAGACTACGGCTCCTCGGACGGAGGATGCGATGGAAATGCAATCCAACTGATCGAAAGACGCCGGGAGGAGCATCTGAACCTTCATCCGGGAAGACATTTGGTGGGGACACATTTTAGACTTGCCCTTCTATAGCACAAGCGGTTGGAAAACAACTGAAGCCTGGGTTGAATTTCACCTAGGATTGCAACGCTTTATTTTTCTACTGTCTATGATGAATTTGATCTGACATTATGTGCTGATAACTTTGACTTGAAACAGCTATATCTGGAAACCAGGTTCCACTGCTTCCTGCTGCATGACAGAGGCAACTGTACTTAGCTAACATTGCTTCCAGTTCCTCCATCACATAGATTACATTACTTTTCTAGAAAGGAAAAGAACATTTATACCCATTAATGGTAAGAAAATAAATCTACAGAGGAAATAAATTCCATATTCTCATATTTCAGATGGAAAGTTTGCTTTTTTTTCTTTAATTCAAAACCACATTTTCAAGTTTCTCTATTGATTTCTCCGATATAAATACCTTAGGGATTTTCACCTTGGGGATCTATTGCTCATGAAAAAGAATCACCTACAGCTGCAAAGCCCAGCTTTCACTCGAGACTAATGCAATTATCAAATCTAAGATATTACCTGACAGAAGAAAATAAAATTGTTCAGGAACAAGGAAACATCAGACTCAGGCTCCAGTGTTCAGCTAGTCTGAGGAAGATTTACAGTAAAAGTAATTTAATGTCTTACAGCAGAACTATATTAAGGGCCAGAACAGATTCACAGCAAAAATCTCTTTCTATCTTCCCCGTGTCAAACCCCACCCTAAATTAAACCAATATTCCTATGCAAACGTACCCTGGAAGTGACTATTTTATTAGATTTCTGCTGTAATGGAATCATGATTTGGTTAACAAAAGAGGTTCAGACCATCATCTAAAAATAGTTTAGATGCCACCTGCTTTGTCAGAACAACATCAACCATGCACCTTCGGTAATAAAGCCTTACCTATTTCTCTGCAGATTATCCATTTCCTTGCCAGTTCTAACGTTTGGCTTTATTAACGCCGATCTAGGTCTAATTTGAACTTTATCTTGCACTATCGTATTAAAAGAAATTGCAGAAATATTTTGGAGGTGAAAAATTTTGCTTATGTTATTAAGAAACGAGGACTGTGATTGGGTTCATGCATGCTGGCTGTTTTCCAGAGCTCTACGTGGGTATGACAAGAGTTAAGCGCATGACAGTAACATATACGCTACTGCAATACAGTCAGGAAGTCCTGCAAGAACAGAACGGGAGTGTTTCTCCACGAAGAAACTCAGAACACACACAAAAAGAATGAGTGACACAAGCAAAAAAAAAAAAATCAACAACCAATCAATAAGCACCAATATTCAAACACCAAGTAAAAGGCATGAATTGAACCGTGACTCCACTTCAAGGAATAATGCTTAAAAATATACAGAACTGTAATGCTAGCACATTTCATTTTAGCGTTATTAACAGACTTAAGAACCACTTTACAGTCCAATTTCTCTATTTCAGAACCTCTTATGCCACTTTCTCCAACAGCATCGAATACATTCACATATTTACACAGTGCCAACAGAAAGAAGTGAGAACAATCACAGAAACACAGCATTTCCACACAGGAGAGGCATAAAGGAGTCCATAAATGAATTCTCACTTGTCACTGCTGCTAAGACTTCAGAAAGGGTCCATGAAACAACCTGGCGTTATGACTAGAAATTAAACAAGAGAATAAAAAGGAGATAAATTAGCAGGATCCATCTGCAGAGACATCTGTTCCATTTGGAGAGTAAACAAGCTCGTCCCTAAAATATATGTAAACACAGCACAGCCTAAGTGTTGTGGCATACAAATATAACCAAATCATTGACCTGCTGAAACAAATAAAGCAGCAGTGGCACAAAGTTTATATGAGCGTATCTGGAGCTATTTTCTCCATAGAAACAGCAGCATGCAAAAGGGCGATGTTATAACCAGGAAATGTATTTTTCTAGAATTATGGAAAATGGGAAATAAACTGCTTCTAGTCTCTCCATCCTCCCCTGCCTTTGTAAACCTTGCTTCCTCCTCGTCCTCCTTCTTGGGTCTGCTGACAACCACCTGAACTGCTGCTTTCTAGGCTGCATAACCCGCTTTCCCTCCTACCTGAGGCTGCAGAATTAGCAGCAGAAGTATCTTCACAGAGGAACTGGGAAGTCTAAACCCGTATTTTACACAAATACCTTCAAAGAGTGAAACCTGAGATACTCTGTTAAGAGCTTTCAAATAAGCAGCGTTCACCGTGAGTTTTCCCACTCGCCTCAGACCAACAGTTACTAACAAGATAAGCAGTTCCACCACGGGATGCAGAAGAGGAAGTGCCTAGGAGCAGCTAAGCAGTTAGCATAGCTTAAGGCCCTTAAGAGGCAGAGTAACATCTTTAATTTGGAAATATAATCTGTTAATTGATATACACATACATATAAATTACAAGCCAAAGGATGCCCAGACCACTGCTCCGAAGGCGTTGTAATTAAATGTATGCAAATATGCACATATATGTGCAAAAAGATGTGACATATAGAGCAGAAGTTAATCAACTAAGACTTCGATTCATTACTTTATTTTTTTTACATTAAAAAATTACAACATAACAAGGGTTTGAAAAGCCAAGTAAACCTGATTTCACTCACGCACACATTTGCTAAGTCACAGGGTTCAACCGCTTGAAGTGATATTTTCTGATTCTCATCAGGATATTTTATTAAACAAGATACACATCAAGAGCCTCATGACAAAGCCAGACACATTTTTCCCCCCCCCCAGTCTTTAAGATGTGCCACTGAATACGCAAAGAGTCTTGTGGAACTTCCAACCTTCCCTGCGGTTACACGAGATTTAGCTTTGTTCATCTGACTGCAATTTCACTGGATGCATCCACCTGGAAATTCTCCAGTATTACACATCATCCCCCCAAGCAAAGTGAACATATTACCTAGTATTGCACAGTTTTGTTCATGGGGCTATAGCTAACCAATGGATCCCTCTGTAATTTCACCCACCCGATGGTATAAAACCTGATGAAGCTGGAATCAAGATGCCACAAATGGTTACAAAGACATGGAGAAGCAAGTCACTTAAAAAAAAAGAAGATATAGCTTCTGTAGTATGTAAACTTTATAATGCAAGATTCTTCGGCACGTTGAACTGCTCGAGGTGGGACAAATCATCAGTGCTACTGGCAAAGCAAAAGCAAGAACAGGACAATTTTAAGGCAAGTCCCAGAACAGGGAGCTATTTAACTTTCTAGGCACGATTTCAAGCTATGCATCAAGGCTCCTGTTTTATCTTTTATATTGTCAGTAATTTATAGAACAGATTAACAACAATACAAAAAATAGCCTAAGTGTAACTTTTAAAGAATCCATTTTTAGCTGGATTTCATTACTTGCAGCTTGTATTTCATTACTTGAAGATTTATAAACATTTCTTAGCACTACGGTTCTTTGTCAGGCCCACATAAAGCAGTTCTAGATCTATATTGCTCTCATTGCTTGAAAGTAGTTTTGGTTGAAAAATGGTTCAATTCAAAGTCATTCCTTCTATTACAACCTTTCAACATTTAAGCTCTGTTGTACTTGAGAAAGAGTCAACCTCCTTCATTCCTCTGACGTCTTTGTTCATCATGTGAACAGTTTGCCTTCTGTGAAAAGTCTATGCAATAAAAAAAAAAAAAAGGGCAGAGCACGACCTTACAAAGACAATTTTCTCGGTTAATTAACTCCGATCTGCAGTACATTCATTTTAATCTCACACAGGAGGACACAGTCACTGGTCCCACTCACCCCTGCAGAGGACTAGACACAATTCTCACAACATCTGCGCTTCAGCTCCTCTAGAATCAACGCGTTCAGAATTGGAGATGCGTATCTGAGGGCAGAATTCGGCTCACAGCCATCGGTTAAAAGCATCGTTCAGGGAAGATTTAGAATTTACACAAACGCCGTAGGACATTAATGCTGCCAAAGACAAGACGTGCTTTTGTGAGCCTGGGAAGACATTTGGCAGGGGTGTAACAGTGCCTCTGATGTGCTACGCTGTTGTGTGCACCAGTCCTTTGAATCTCTTGCATATGAGGAACGTGTGCCTGAAGTGGGACACAAGAGTACAGCTCTGTTTATCAGGACAAGCTGAAATGTAAATGAAAACTGAACAAACCACTATTCCTTGAAAACTGGATTTAGAAGGCTAGGTCTCACTTGAGATCAGCTTTCACCATAGTGCTCCTCCCTATGATTGACAACTGCACCTAAGGATATACTTTTTATAAAAACATACTGGTAATCTCCTCAACATTTATCAAATAAAAAGGGCTTAACAAAAATGGGTAATTAATCTCATAAAATAAATTACAGTAGCATGACAACATTTGGCTTCTTTAGTGTGACCACGTGCTTCTCGTCTGTTATCTTGCTGTTAAGACCATTACAGATCCAGTTCGCGTCTCTGAAAGTTAATGAGATGTCTGTGACGATAAACGTATAAAACTCTGCTTGCTACAAGCAAATGTCTGGTATCAGTTTCACCTGGTCACAGATTATATGTAGACAGCCTTCTCTGGCTCCAAATAAATATTACATAGTATTCTCGCAAGTCCTAGCATAATTAGACTCAAACAGAAAACTCAGGTCCTCCTTTCTTTGCTCTCAGTAGAAGCCGCCTGATTCGAAATCCTGCAAAAGGATTGATCCACAGGAGCGAAGGCTGACCCCCAAAGACTGACTTCATTCCTTCCCAGCGTAGTCTCCGCTCCCACGTTGGCTTTTCACTCTTCAGTCTTTCAATCTCCTGCACGTAAACAGACACATAGTGAAGCACGTTAAGTCTAAAGTTTACTAAAGTCTAATAGTAATTGTCAAAATTGATGACCTCTAATGTGCAGTGAGCCGGCTGATTAGTTTCTTATTGGTATTTAGTAAAGAAGGAACAAGGATGGCTGATTTAGCCCTGTGGGTACAGGGCACAAGACTCAGAATACAAACTGTGCGCAAGAAGGTCGGTCTACCTCTTTCTCCCTCAAATTAAAAGACAAAATGACCAGAAAAAGCTGGCGTTACAGTACAGGATCTGCAGGCAACACATTTACACTGGGAGTTGTTTATAAAGTTAATAAAATCAGACAATACAGCTTCCAAGAAGGATCTTGCCCTGCAGTTACTGAAGCAAGGCTTACTCTCCCAAATGATTTATTTGGATGATCATTTTTTGTGCTTCCCACTAACGAAGGCTGGATATTTACAGATTGTTTTTTACAGTTACTCTTCAGTACAGAAGTAGACTTTTAAGCAGCCTCAACGTTCAAATTCCTTTATCCGTTATCTGTCACAAAACATCCTCTCAAGGCTTAACATTGCAGATCTAAAGGCAAGGGAGCTCAAGGTCTAAACTATTAATAAACACTAACAAAGTGTACCAGAGTAAAGGGAAGTATGAAGAGTTGATACAAGGAAGCCAGTTTAAGTGTAAACCTGAGAAAAGCTGACATTTCTCATGACACTTATCAGGAGTTTGTGATAGGTGAGAAGTGAAAGTCCAAACTGATGCCATAAGCTGAACAATCTGTGTAACTCAAAACCTAATTATAAATTATATTCAGGTCAGAAAAGCAAATAATACAAGAACTTCTGTTAGAAAGCAAACTCCAAGCAAGTGTTCCAACGCTTACAACCACAGAAAACAAAAATTATGAGCTATTTCAGACATAAAAGCCTCCTTCCCCCATTCAAATGAAACAGTATCTAATCACATATTTCTAGAATAATTGCTATAGCACACAAAAGTAGAAGTCTTTACCGTTTCATCATTGCATATTGAGTGGATTTGGGTGCCAAACATGACTGCAGTGAAAGTAAGGAACAGAAAACCCTCAAGGCACAAGAAGATCATCAGGATCACAGTTACAGGTGGGGAGAAGTCACTGCATTCTGTGAAAATGACATATGTAGTTATATATAAAAAAAAAATATTAAAACTCTACGGAGCACATTCATACCGACACATCCCGTCTTCAACAAGCAGCAACAGAGGCTAAATATCTGACAGTATTTTGCAACTAAAACAAATTCCTAATTTCTAGCACTAAAGCAACTGTATTTGCTGCCCAAGGAGATGAAGAATTTTCAGGAAGTGACACTTTTGGCTTCCTATAAAGCACATGGTACTGCATTACCACACTCCTGCCTCAACGTTTCAAATGTTTGCATACGAGATCATTTAATTACTCGAAAATGCACGTATATAAAGAGTAGCTCGAAGTTTCATACATGACCAATGCTGTTAAAAATCATCACCACTGTCAGCTTTGACTTGCCAGTTAATCCAGACGTTCCATTTTGCTGCAATTGCTTAATTTATTTTTTTAATTCACTGCACAGAGTAATCAGATTCTCACATTTAAAGTTAGATCTCTGGAAATACTCTAATCAACTGATTAACTCAATTATAGTGAAATAGTTGGGACACACAAAGCCCAGCTGGCAGCTTCAGGTAATAGAGGGCTGAGGTGTTGGAGGATCAGCTCTCTGTTTGCTTCCTCTTAGTTGTAGCAAATTTTTACTACGTGGAAAGGGAGTGAGAATACCCTTGAAAGCCACAGCCCTTACAGTGGGTGACTGAAAGGAGACAGAGGGAAAATAAAATAAAAAAAGAAAGAAAGAAAAAGAAAAAAGGTAGGTAAACAGATACAAAATATTTTCAGGACCTCACTTAGGAAAGATCAAAGTCCTGTAATATTTCTTAGACAGGGCTGAAAGAGGTGGGAGGTTGTGACTTTCCCTGAATATCTGCTAGATTATGGCAGTGAAAGGGAAATACTTGCTTACCAGTCCACTGTCCTCGGACACAGGAGAAAAACTGAAACCCACACAGTACGAGCGCATGAGCTGAAATTAGGGCTATATACATCTGGAAATAAGAGAGAGTGCTTACTTTTGACTGCTGCCAGGTAGCAAACCAGACATTCCTTTCAGCCAGCCTTCACCACTGCACAGCACATACATTTTCCTATTCCAGTTGTTAATTCAATACAGTGATGTAAAAAAAAAAAATTCTATTTAAGCTTGAATCTAAAAATGTGCCCAACAAGGAAAGTTTAAGGATTAGCTCCCTGAATGACAGCACCATTTCACTACTTGTTACTACATAGAAAACCAGTGCTTTACCAGATTAAAATGTGTATGAGGAGAAATATCTTCCCCCTTGGAGAACAGCTTGCATAGAAGAAAAAAACGAAAACAAAACAACACAAAATAATTGTAACCTTAAGCCACTACTCACTACGCAACATAACCAAAATTGTTATAATCAAGGTAGATTCACACTGAGATCAAGCTGCTGTTGATTTTCACTTACCGTAAACAGAACAAAAAATCTCTGATTTTTCTCCCCCACACAGTTATTCACCCACGGGCAGTGGTGATCCATCTTTCGAATACATCGTTTGCAAATACTGAAGGAAAGGAAAGGAAAAGAGACTTCTGCTGAGAAACAAGACTTGGCATTTTTATACAGAAACAAGGGTGTCCAGAGGTCACAAGGTGATGTGCTGACATCTTCACTGACAAAACTGCAAACAGTGATTTGCATTTCTTTAAAGAAAGTGTTGGCTCACTTATGACCCAGCTTGTTGTTGTTACAAAAATGACTGTACGTAAGATATTTTTCACATAAGAAAAACAGTATTAATGTAAGAATCACTGCAGGTCCAAACATAATGACCAAGGGAAACCAGTAACCTGGTTTAGACACTTGTGGCACTGAATAAGCAAGGCTTCAGTTCTTTCTAGATTCAGTATTAAAAAATCCTTTCCCTTGCGGAGAAGCTTTTTTAGATGAAGTAATTTTTTTCAGGTTTATAGACTCTGAAGTTGTAAATTTGGTGTGTGAACCAGAAAGAAAAGAAATTCACATCTTCAAGAGAGAAATTGTCACTGTTGAGGTTTCAACTGGTCTGACGGTTCTAAACTTAGGCAACCACAATTTCAGGAGCAGCTCCCAATGTCACACCTCACTTTCTCAACATAAAACAAAAATATTGAAACTATAAACAGCACACATTCTTCGTCTACTTGCCAATGAATACTTAAACACTATCATTCTTTGCTAGCTCTGCAACTAATCGCTTAGTTTCTGCTCAGTTTTGAGTTGAAGTTATTTCCAGAAAGAAAAGTCAAATATTTCAGTAACTCCATTTTACATCTGCTAGGCCATGCGGCACCAGAGGGCTCACTTCTCTTATATTCAGGTCCATCTGCAGTGAAACATGAACAATTATATAAGAGAAACGGAACAGTCACAACACATGTTGAAGTTCTTCCACAAATCAATAGCTTAAGTAATGCTGAAATTTCATTTTTCCTAGCTTTGTTCTTAAGATAGCCTCACATTTCAAAAAGTGTTCCACACTTTCCTGCAGAATATCCAAAATATCAAGCATGTTCATTTCAGCAGTTACAAAGCCAAATAAGCCTGAAAAATGCAGTCATTATTATTCAAAATCTTTTGGGTTTAATGTATGCTTAGATGACTGTCACGAGAGTGAATAAAGGGAGGCGAGTGTGTGTGGGAAATCAATGTTCCGAGGCATAAAATAATTTTAAGTGATCATATATGCATGATTATAAGGAAATTCAGCAAGAGGCAGGACATACTCCTGTGCAGTTTATATGAAAGAATCCCGAATCTCTCACTGTTCCCCTGAAGCTCCCTTTGCCCTGAGCTGTCATAACCCAGCCACTACATTCCCACTGCCTCATGTTTTATGGAAATTAAAGACTCATCCTCTGCTGCAAATTACTTTTTCAATGGGCCAGTCACACAGGAAACATCCCAATACCACAACCAAGCACCACAACCATTCTCTAGCGTGCAAGAAAGGTGTCACTGAAGAGAAGGCATTCTGAAGACTCTCCAGAAGTTTTTCAGTTCACAGCCTGCTGCCTGTAAGTTCAATCTCTCCTCAATTTCCCCAGCTCTGCGGGAAGGTGAGCTAACTCCTAACACAAGCCTCCTCACGTACCACGGAATATACACTGTCACTCTAGAAAAAAAAAAAGAAAAAAATAATGTGAAGTGCTGAGTAAAACCGTATCCAGACTCAATCAAGCCCAACGCTGGAGGATGTGAGGTGGGCAGGATGTGCTGCTGCTCATTCAGTATTTCTCATAGGCCCACGCAGAGCTCTCCAAGACATGAGATGTCTGGAACCCTGCCCCCGTTTCTAATCTCACACCACAACTCAATGAACGCTTCCAGCCAACGAACTCGTGGCAACGCTTAAAAGAGGGTCTCAGCCTTCTTCCTACCCTCGTAACTTGTATTCTCTTCCTTTCCCAGCCCAAGCACAGATGTTCCCGTGGCAAGAGCTCGGGGAAGTCACTCCGTCAGCTGCAACCCGGGTCGCTTCACTGCTCACGGGCACTCCAGCCTTACATGAGAGCACAGGAGCGAGAATAAGGTCTTCTCCAGCTTGGCCTTGCTGCTGAATGTCCTCAGGCAACCGCAGGTCCAGTCCCAGTTTGGAACGCCAAAGATAACATGGAGAACGGCACGGCTAATGGCTGAAGAGAAACTGGTCTGGGTAACAGAAAGTCATGGGAAGACCGATGCAGACGTCTCAGTGACTTAATTCGGAGTAACAGTTCCCCACACACAAAGGCAGGCACCCCAGATAGGCTAGAAATAATGACAGCTGTGCTCCTTTGGTGAAGAAGAAAGCATTCACTCAGGAGAAGCCTCTTCCTTATGCCAAAAATGTTAACTGCTTAGTAAAAATCTCAGTTTAATGTGCTCCACTGTGGCTAGGCGTAAATAAAAGTTTCTTGTTCTTTTTCCCATCACTAATGCCTATTATGAAACCATTTTTCTTCCTTAAAAGAACTTCTGCTGCAGTGTTGCACAACAATTTTCATAACTACATCATAAGAGTCTCTTCTGTTAATAATTTACTACTCAAAACATGCACTGTGGCTTCGAGTGTATTTCCCAACAGGAACCAACTTTAATTTCCATTTTCAAGTCTCTTCTATCAGCAAATTGCCGCTTTGACTACTTGGGACTAAACCATCATTTTAATGTCCTTGGAAAGGGTTTGTAAACCGATAAAACGTTGGCAGTAAAATCAAGCAAACTTTCTTTCCGTTCAGTAAACTTCTGCAGTGCCACATCTACGGCAAAGATTCTGGCAGTCAGTTTCCAGCTCATTTACCTGTCCTACGCGGTATGTATTCAACACTCAAGAAATTACAAAAAAAATACTTTGTTTTACTTCAGAAAAGTTAACAGCAACTACTAGTAGCACATACTGTATGAGCAACAGAAACAAACAGAAACAATTAAACCAGACATCCAACTGCTGAGAAAAACACCAGAGCAGGCTTACAAGAGGATAGCACATACGCTCTCAGGCTCTGGGGTTCTCTTTCTGATGTTCTGTGAAGCCGGTTACACACTGTGCGAGCACCAAAATGCATCTCGTGCCCTCGTGTGGAACACTCCACAGCGGATTTTACCAAGGCACGAGAAGTAGAACAATTCACAAGCTAGGTCCCTAAAGCAGTGGTTAAGCAAAACACACCCTTCAAAAGTATGAGAGATTTCGTTCCTTGTAGGCACTACCCATTCTTGCTCTGCTTTAACAAAACACGTCACTCAAATATTTGCTATGAGTAATGTATATGAAGTCCCTACTTAGTTTATTTTTATTCTTCTTCCACGAAGGAACGATTTTGCAATCAACACCACCTTAACTGGGATCACAGGCTACTGGGACATTGGAGATAAGAGTCTGCTGAGGGCTGATGGCCCAGCCAGACCCACAGGACTCTGCAGGGCTCACGTGACACCGCTGTAGTTGTTAGCTCCAGGTCGAACAGGTAAGCACCGCCCACACAGAGCCACGCAGCTGCACGGGCCCTGGGCTCTCCAGCACACCAGCTTTTTTGCTCACGTCCAGAGTTCAACATAAGATGTCTTCAGTTAGAGAGATTTACAAATTAGTAAATCCTACCAGGACCCGTTGTGCATGAAGGCAGGCCTGGTATCTGCATCCATGCAAAAACTAACCTGCGACACAGATAAACCAGCTGAACATAATTCTGCACATGACTCTCTCTCTCTCTCTCTATATATATATAAATAAAATTAGGGCCAGTGAGTTTATCTGTGCCCAGGTTAGCTTTTGCATGGATGCAGATACAGAAATTTATACATGAAACTTTTTCTTCACACTCCAGATACAAAAACCCACTCACATCTGAGAGAAGAACAAGATTCCAGTGCCAAGGCTGAGTATTTATAATAGAAATAGCTTCTCAGCCATAACTTTCACACAGATAAGTGACATACACTGAGACATTTAATTTAGAAACCACAAATTTACAGAATAATTTGAGAGTCCTGACAAGACTTCACTGTGTTCTGATGGGCAGTAACTCAAGAGACCTCAATTTAACGTGCCACACAATTCAATACACATCACTCTTCACACCTGGAGAGAGCCACCAGAAACATTTCCATATTTATGTAAGTCTTAATTATGCAGGCATAGCTATTTTCAACGCTCACACAATAAACATTACAAATGCATATCCACAGTGCCTGAAAACTCAGAGGACTGGGAATTAATTAAAAATGGATACATTTGCTATCTCCTGCATAGCACGGTTAGCTCAAATTATTATCATTCTGTCGGTAATAAAATGAAGCTCCAATAAGCAGAAGTGCATTCAATCAGCGATGCATATAACTTTAGGAAAATAAACTGCCAATTCACACATAACTTCAAATGAAGCACTAAGAGAAGACGACACAAAGTGGCAGCTTAAAACGAATCTGTTTTCCTAATTTAAGATTGCAGGAGTTATTTCTTAAATCAGCTTCTATTATAAATTTCCTTCCCTTTGCCCTGCATTATCAACAGTATGGCACAATTATTAGAGTGATACATAGGAAAAAAAAAATCACAGAAAATATTTAAGACAACACGGTATGATTATTTTTAAAGAACTCTTGAGTGCCTTGCTTCTTTCTCATTACCCACAGAGTATTACATTTATAAAATACTCTAAAATATGCACATTTGAAAGTTTAGCAGATACTAAAAGAAATTTGTGGGGGAAAAAGCTAACATATATATAAATATATATACATTTATTTATTATTCCAAGACTCAGTATGCGTAACTCCTTTAAAGAAAACTCTGGCATACCTGCAATGGTGTGCACGTTCAGGTTTGATACTGCAGCACTTTGGACATTTGTAGATCACTTCTCCTGGCTTCAGTTGCAAATTATCCATGTATTCTTTAGTGGCATTTCCTTTGGGTACAGCCCCCTGAAATCATTTCAATTAAAGGACAGAAAGCTTCTTAAATGGCATGAGAGAGTTTAAAAATACACTTTATAGACTTCATACCGCTAATCTCAGGATAATTGCTGAAATAAGTTCATTTATTCAAAGACAGTCCGTCATAAGCCAGAATCATTTCCAAATGAATAAATTACCTCTGCCTGACCTCAAATTCAGTTTCATTTCAGCAAGCCTCATCTCTGGCCGAGTATTAGCATAATCCTGACAGGATCTACTGTCACCAGCATACGCAGCATGGTGAGGAAGACACATCTTTACATGCAGATACAAGCACTACAGGTACAGTATTTTCTGAGGAGTTACTCTGAACAAGCACTACTAGGAGACATGCCTTCTTACAGCAGCGTATGTTAATTGTTGTGCTGTTCAGGTATTAGGCCAAGCCATCCAGAAAAGTTCAATCAGCAACAACCACCTGAAAGATGTTATTTCAACTTTCTACATCCAAGATTTAGCCAACGTGCGCCAAGTACATGAGTTTTTGAGAACCAACATTGTCAGCATGAACCATCACTGGCTTCTTTATTCTACATCTACTATCCTCTGCTGCCTTCTGCTCCTGTGAAGGTCTGTGTAGCTACATGATCATCAGCTGAAGGAACTGATCCAAAAGGAAAAAAAAAAATATCATCAGGAAAAGAAATTATTTTTAAGTAGTTCTCTGAGCTGTTCACCACTGAGCAGCGTTAGCAGCTGTTTCAACACAATGAGGAATTCAATGAACAGACAGGAACAGAAAGCAGGACTGCTTTGTCCAGTAACAATATTAATGTAGAGCCTCATGAGGTCAGAATCTAACTTTGAAAAAGTAAGTAAATAATGGACAGTACCACTGCCACTTTGCTTATTTATAGAGCTAAAGGCTTCTCTGTGGCAGAAAGCAATTGTAAATAGACCATTGCAATGGCTTTTCTGTACTAGCTCCTTCAGGCCAGCACAAGGATGCTGGAGTATCCTGGAACTTCTCCAGGTTGGCTTTAACAATCTGCAACATTCTATAATCGTTTCTCATTCAAGAAAAAAAAAAAAAGCTCACTGGCAACATCAACATTTTACACAGACACCTTAAGGAAGGTTTTGGGGCAGAATTAAGAAAGCAGCAGGCACTTCTCTACATGGGCAGAAAGTTTTTGTTGCCTGGAATAACAATCCTGTGTTTGTACTGCCCGAGACACAGCCCCAGTTCTGCTCCAGGTGGACTCTTTGGCTAAGTGGCGCTTCAAACCTGAGCCAGCCGGCCTCTGCAGGGGAGAGAACTTACAGAGAGTTCTTAAACACTCATGTCGTATCGCTGACGTGTTTCGCAATATTAATGTTCTCACTGAAGCTAATACGTCAGCGCAAACATGGTGAATTATCTCAGAGAATGCTCCTAAAGCACAAATTTATCTTGTTCCGGATAAATTTCTGTTTATGAAACACACCTCATGTTCATCTATTCAGCTGTTACTAAGGACAATAACTTCAGGCCAAGCTTTTAGCATTTTGCTGATAAAACTATACTCTAGACGGTCACCAATTCCTTTTGATGAAAAATCTATGTTTATAGTTAGAAGACTAAATTTAATTCACATATGTTTTGATGCAGTTTATTCCTTTTTTCCATCAGTCTTCGTTTCCATCACACAGCTGCGCCTTTCTCTCTGGGAGTCAGCAGAAAGGGAGTGGAGAAAAACCGTGGTGATTCACCTCAATTTCTATCATGTTTTATGCATAAAGAACACCGGTCTAGAAAGACAGAGTTTTATCTGGACATATTTTAAACAATCTTTCCTTAAACCATTAACTGTCTTAGCTGTCACAGTCTGTAGAAGTTGTAGCATTTCATAACTGGGTGTGGGCTCAGAAGTAAACCAAAAGAACTAGAAAACCATTAACTACAACACGCTGCTGTTTTTTTGAACACTCCTATCGCTTCTATATACACTGTCTCAAAATTCTGGAGAAAATAGATGCTTTTCGCTCCACCCCTCACTCCCTAGATTTATTCCCTCAGAAAAGTAATAGATTTTGGTACAAAATAAACAATTCCATCTCTTGAACTTCAGAGGAGCAAAAGTCCTAAGGAATGAGTACTTTTACAGACCTGTTACACCTACACTGTTCCAATGTGGGTTCAACTTAAATTTCCCTTCCCACTGACTCCGAAAACCTAAACATGGTAACGAAGGAATCACACAGGATCACAGGTCTTACTTTACGCCAATATGTGACTGAGGTTTCTCAGCATTTCTACCTCTAAAAGTTCTATCACGTGCCATACATGAAAGATGTATTTCACATGATACAACAGGACGAAGCTACTACTTCTTATCAAGTTTTGAAAATATATCTGACGAAAAGAGTACAAAAATTAGGACAGAAAAGACTAAAGCTTTATTAGCTTCTTCAGAACCTCAGTTAATATTTTACAAAGGAACTATTTCTCACAAGCCTACCTCTCCCTTACAAATTAATTTCACTCTTCCTGCTCCTCAAGTCAAAAATTATTTTTGGTTTCATTAGCAGAACAGGAAAAGTCGAGATATCAGCCCTTCACTTTGAGGGTTTTTGAATCGAACACTACTTGCACCAGCAGAAGATCGATACCACTTGAAATTTCTCTGCAGACGCTGAGCTACATGAGAGAGCAACCCAACTTCAAGGAACGATCGCATACTTACTGGATCAGTTAGCATAGTTCTCAGATGCGATGACAAAGCTAGCACTGCCAAGCAGTTAAAGAGAACACCGTTGATCACAGAGTACCAAAAGTCTTTGGAAGGCAGCAACATGACAAAAGTCACTACGAAGTCTGCATAGACAACCAGAAGCCATGTCATTATAGCACAGACCATACCACAGCCATCTCGGATGAACCAAACCCTCTCTGCCATGTCGGCCTCCGAGGAAGAGGAATCGTAGCTGTCATTTTCAGCGAGAAGCGGGTGGTGCTCAACATCGCGGAATCTGTGCCCTGATGACTGCATGGTTTTCTGGCCTTGCCCTGCAGGAAGCAGAGACACCGTTATTATGCATGAGGAAACCGGAAATACAGGCAGCTCTCATTCCTTATTTCTGTAAGAGAAAACATACCCAAGTTCAAAGAAGATTCCTGAGATATTTTTTTTTAATCAAAACAAAAAGGAGAACGCCACGACGGAGCAGGTGGACGCCTGAAGCAAGCTGTGACCTCGCAGGATGTCCATGCTGGAGCAGGTTCCTGGCATGATTTGTGACCCTGTGGGGAACCCACGCTCAAGTAGTCTGTTCCTGACGGACTGCAGCCCGTGCTGGAGCAGTTCATGAAGAACTGCAGCCCATGCGAAAGCCTCTCCTTGGAGTAGTTTGTGGAGGACTGTCTCCCACAGGAGAGATCGCACGCTGGAGCAGGGGAGGAGTGTGAGGAGCCGTCCCCCTGAGGACGAAGGAGCCACAGAGATAACAGAATCACAGAATGTTCGGGGTTGGAAGGGACCTCTGAAGATCATCTAGTCCAACCTTCATCCCAGCACACCTAACCACTACACCACAGCCTCAAGTGCTAGATCTACTTTTTTTTTAAACACCTCCAGGGTTGGTGACTCCACCACCTCCCTGGGCAGCCTGTTCCAGTGCCTCACCACTCGTTCAGGAAAGAACTTCCTCCGAATATCCAATCTAAACTTACCCTGACGCAACTTGAGATGAACTGACCACAGTGCCCATTCCCCATCCCCCTGTGCCACTGTGGAGGTAGAGAAAATCCTTCTCTGTTATCTCTTATCTTGACCCGTGAGCCTTTTGTTCTATTTTCTCTCCCATGTCCAGCTGAGGAGGGGAGTGATAAAGCAGCTTTGCTGAGCAATAGGCATCCAGCCAGGGTCAACCCACCACAATCATGCAACTTCAATGCTTGACAAAGGGATTTTACAATGGTTTTTATTTCCATTTGGCTGTGCTCATAAAACATTCTTCCTCCTCTGTTAAAAATCCAACCTCTTGCTTTTATCTCAAACTCAAATGGCAAAGTCTTCATTAAATTACAGCTCATCTGTCTCAGAAAACAGCAAATTATGGCACCAGACTGCTGCTGACTTTTCATGCTGCTCCAGCAACCCAAGGAAGAGCAGAAAGAAAAAACAGAAGGGAAATAACACTGTTCTAAGTACATTGTTTACAATAAAAAACACAGCGAGTTAGAAAGCAGCTGAATTTGTTGACAAAAGTGCTATTGTGTTGAAAAAACCCACCAACCTGTTAGGAAGGTATACTGGAAAACTTGCAAAATGGCCTCAGAGCAGACCAAACTCAAGGGAAACAAATGGTGGTGGCTAAATGAACATGGCAATGGATTACATGAATCAGATTTTCAAAGAACACATCAATTAATCTAATTTCGTGGAAACTCTTCTGGGGCTTTGTTGTTGTTCCAACATGGAACAAAAGCGAGACTTGAAACCTTCACAGTTTTCATGAAACAGAATTATTCTCCAGACATCTCTAACAAGCACAGGTACAGAATGACAGAAGTGCTATCAGCAAACAAATTTAAGCTTAAACATTATGCATCCAGAACACAGTATACTGTGTTCTAAAAATTATGTTGATTCACGCTGTTAAAGGCCATGTCTGAGAGAAATTGAAAGCATTTATACTGACTGATGGCAGTCATGCAGAAATCTCCATTTTTCGCCCCCTTATTAATGGTAATCTATACAGGACTGGTAGGAATTACTGCACTTTAATTTACATCATAAGCCTTGAATACAGGAATACTTTGTTAGTCTAAAATAGTCAGTGACCATGGCCAAGTGCAGAGGCACTCGGGCAGTTTTCACATGAAGCTATGTATTTCTAAACTCTTAAAAAAACCTCTCTGTCCCACCTACCAGGAACCAGATAAACATATTCTGCCCAGTAAATCTTCCTGATCTTTAAGCGTGAATGCTAGAACTAGGCAGGAATAATCCAAAAGACTAGAAATGAAGTATACGTGGATTGCAGCATAGAGATCCCAGAGCAACGGTTAAAATTGCTCGCTGAGGTACTCGGAGGGGACAGTAAAATAAATGCAGGCTGTGTTCTCTGGTTATGAAACAGAACAAACTGAAATAGAGCTCTGGTGCTTGGATTTAGTCCCTAAAAATGCCAAACTACAATTCCTAGCAGTTACACTGTGCTTTCTACCCGCACACTGGGGTTTTTTTGTTTGCTTTTTTTTTTAATTACACAAAAGTCCCTCCTCACCAGAACGCAGCCACGTATTAGAAAAATATCTCAGGAAAGAATAAACTTCAGCTCCCTTAAAAGCAATTCAAGCTTAACTTAACCTAGATAAGTCTCTCTTTTCAGCCTCTTAAAACTATCACAATCTTTCTAAATGTTTAAAATTACAACCTATGATACTTAATCTCAATAGCACACTGGCACCTCTTGCGGTCAAGACTTTGTTAAAGAAAATTCAAGTTTCATGAACCCTCCAAGATTAGCAGCTGGAACATGAAGTTAGCTAGGCAAATCAGCTATTATTCCATCCGAAATGGACATATAACAGTTTTCAGAAATGCTATTGTCTAACATTTTCTCTCGAAAAAAAAGTACCCACAATAAACTTTCAGCTAAGCTTGAAGTATATGAAAAGCTGACAGACAAGCCAAGTATCAGCTTTTTCATTTTTAAAAAAAATCCTTCCTTTTTTCAAATTTTCATTCTTTTCTTTTTAACATTTTTTTAAAGTCAATATATATGTAATTTGGAACATTTTTTGAAACAAAATGTCTTTTTTCCTTTCTCTTCATCAAAGGACTGTTTAGAAACCCCACTCCTTTAAGACCTCCTGCTGCACAGATATTTAGAAGTGCCTGAGAAGAACCAATGAATGAAAATCAGTGTCTTAATTCTGACACTTCTTGTGGAACATAAATTTAGAATTCCGTTCAGCTAAGGTCCAACACCTCAGAAGAAGAAATATACAGCTATTTTTTCAATCAAGGCAATTTTTCAGCTGCTCAAACCAAGAAGTTACCTTAAATCAAAACAAACATCGAGATTCCGAAAAAAAATAATCAGTATTTCTGTATATCACAACAAACGCCAATTTTGGATCAATTCTGCAAGCAGCTTCTTTAGCATAGGAATGAAATGGCATAAAATTACTGTATTCATTTTGTTTAACTGTATTAGAGACAACCAAGAACTGTTTGAGCTCAACAGGAGACGAATCACACATACCTCACAAATGTTTTGTATGTTATTCTGACATCATGTCCTTCCTTTGGGCTATTCACATAGTCATATTTGATGTAATCTGAAATGATATCACCAACAAACTGATCAGCAAAGCACTCTTGCTTCATCACGAAAATAGTGTTAAGTACAAATAAATACGCATAGATAGTAGTACTTTGAAATACGCTGCATGTACTTAGAGCAAACAAGCTTCTGACCCACACAAAAAAAACCTATTTTTCAAAGCTCTAAAAAGATGTTTTGTAGAAAATACTACAAGAGAACAAGAAGAATCTAGCGTAGCAGGCATCAAAGTTATCAAAGAACCAACCAAAAAGCTCTAGAACAGTGTTTCATGTAACATTATATCTGTCCTGCTCATTGGTTTTTAAGATGAGCTGAATATTCAGATTATAGCACTACAAATTAATGTATCCAAAGGCCTACATTTTCCTCTTTGTCACTCCTGTATGACTAAGAGAGAGAGTGTGGAAAAAAAATAATATCACTTGATTGTGTTTAGAGCTTAAAGTAAAGTTTTTGGTAGCATTTTATTAATAATAAATACACAAACCTACCACTATTTTTGTAATTGTAAGATAGGAAAACTTGTTTTAACTCTAATTCTTAGATCAAGCTGGCCAATTTCATTAAAATAAGGAAGCTACTTATTCCAGAATCTGTATAGAAAAGAACATGACCCACAACTAAGCCAAAGGGAACATACATTTAGAAGGTTCTCCTTGCCAGAATTCCACCATATAGGCAAATAATTATCATTCAGCTCACAAGATACAAGTGAGCATAAGGACTGAAATGCTAGCATAAGCCATTGTAAACATGCTTAATTTCACAATACAGATGTTCCACAAGCATGAATCACACTCCTTCCTTCCCACAAGGACGTAAAACTCAAATCCAACACCGACTGCATTAAGGAAGTGATGAGCAGTAGCTTTAGAAAGCGCAGATTTCCTTTTTCTTCACGAAAGGAGGAACAACTTATTTAGAAAACCAGTTACCTTCAAAGCTTGAAAATTCTAGCAGTTAACTTTTGGAAATCGCTGCACGACATTTGGAGCAGGACTGCAGCACAAAACCTTGAGTTAAAGATTTCTATTTGGGGAAGAGAACAGAAGAGGTGTGGGCCTCAGTTTCTGATCGGTGATCACACTCGCGCTGCACAGAAAGCGCTGCTGCACCCGTTCCTGGCAAATTTAAGTTGGGACCCCTGTTCTGTGCAAGAACACTGACTGCTACTGCCGTCCTCTCACCCAGTCCTCCTGCTGCAAACTGTAACGGCGGCCTGGCAATTTAATCCCCAACACATCATCACGGGAGATCTTCTTGCTCTGGTTTATATAGCGCGGAATAAAATGACCAGCTTGGAGCAGGAATTTCAAATTAGTGTCTGATTCAAGCTGGCTGAAGAGGTTTATTCAGTTGTTTTATTTTTTAGTATTTAAAATAAGGTTTGTGAAATGGAAGCTTCGCTCTTTTCTTTGGATGGTTAAATTTATACATTTTGAGGGTAATGTAAGGATTCTGACATTTAACAGCTATAAAAAAATATGTAGGCATTTACTTGTAAAGGAAAGCTTCTGAAACTAGCTTGTTAGAAAAACAATATTCAGAATACAACACTACCGAGGGAGTTCCTCAGTATGCATTTTCAAATTTTTTTCCAATTCAAGGGGAATTATGCCAATGCAGACTTTTCCTGAAAATAAGTCTCTTGTCTTATTTAAAAAAAAACTCATATATTCCATTGCAAACCTAAAAGGTAATGTAAATGCTTATTATGCACATATAACTGCATGATGCTGGCTGATTGCTTTGTTTTGCTTTAGAAATTTGCTTTTATACTTCTGTTACAGTTTTCACAATATTGTGAAATCCACCATCATTAAGCCGTCACTGACATGGCATTTTGTGGAGAGACACAAGAAGACAGGTTGAGCGCACCACGCTTATTTGGGATGTCACCCACCTATTCTCCGACTCGAAGATGACAAGCAATAGAAGACAACATGATAAGCCTCTGCAGGTGAAATATTAAAGTCTGGGTAATCATCTGAAATTGTCAGCAGAGAATTCATTAGCGAGACAGGGACATGACTTGTTCCGTCAGTTCCCTAATTCTAAACGCAATTTGGCGCAAAATTTCAGTGTTTATCGTGGCCTCATCACTAAGTGGTTTATGTGGAAGTGCCACCAGAGTTCGGCTTTTGCAAGAATAATAGTCATTCGCATGTGATTTCTCCTCCCCAGCTCTTGCATGTGGTTCTCCTCTCCAGCTGCCTACACCCTCCACCTTGGTCATAAAGTCACTGAGACTTTAGGAAGAGCGAAGCATCCCCACCGAGATGCTCACAGCTTTCCTCCGGACCATTCACTTGCTTCAGTTCCTGTCCTAACCAAATTTGCATTGAGTCTTTGTTATATATTTAAGGCACAAACCTCCACGACAAAGCATTAAACTTCAACTTCTAGTATGCCAGGCAACAAGGTTTTAATTTGACCTTTTAAAGATCTTTATCTAGCACTGGAAGATAACACTAAATTATTCAATGTTTCATGCAAAATGCCATCTGTTTGGTGGTTTTATTATATTAAACCTAACCCAAAGCCATTCTACTCTTAATTTTTATTTGAAATTCTCAGGTTGAGAACATCTCATCTGACCTGTACCTCATTGTTAGTGAAACACGGTCAAAAATGCAGAGATATTATAGGAATAAAAAAAAATATCTTTTTAAGAAGTTACATTACACACTCATGATCACTGGAAAGATGGTCTATTAAAATAACTCTTCCTAAAATGTTTTTAGCTTCCTAAGATCCACTGCAACAGCAAATCTCTCTTCTCTAATTTTTCTGGAAGAAGGTTACTAAGGTCATTAGGAAGATGAATTATATGATACAATCGTATCATGAGGCCTCGGGGCTGTCAATTAAATAAAAACACAAAAGGGCACTTCAGGGTTAAGCACAGTCCTTTTCCCTGCTATTTTTTAAGGAAGCAAGGAAAAACGTTATAGGAAAAATATCTAATTTTTCTATTTTTTAACACCTCTGCAGATAACAATTTATATATAGGCTAAAAAATCCATCAGCTATTAAAGCCTACATCTTCTTCAGTCACTTTTTCCTTCAAGCTATACAACAAACAGTTCCCAAGATTCTTCATATTTCATTTACAACACAGTAATGAGGATACTTTTATGTCAAAATTTCTGACTGCATACTGAGAAGTCAAGAGTTGTAAGGACTCTAACAGCTATAGCACACAGAATAATAATCCTGTAGCACTTACATATGATGGATTTAAATCCTACCTCGAAAGCACTGCACTGGTGGCAAATCAAAATCACAGAACTGTAGTCTCATTAAAACGTTATGGTATAAACATTAACTTCAGTAACTGCACAAATTTTAGGTAAACCGACTGGGCACACCTGTTACTGCATCCATCTCCACAGGCAATTTGGACCATTCGCTGCTGACAGATAAATATCCATCAGATAATGTCTAGACATAATCACGCCTCATTTAGATGAATAACCTGCTTTTTATTACAGATACACATAATCCAAACTGCAAAGCCATTTAGTAAGTAAACTGCGTCTTGGTTCAACTTCTTCTGAGGGACTGCTCTAGCAAACAAATAAAACCACTCCAGTAACTGCCCTGAAAACCCGTTAGCTCAGCCCCAGCAACAGCCTGGCTTTGTGCAGGAGCCCTCTGCTAGGGCTTCAAGGCTGACCTTTCTCATAACGTGTAACAACAGGGAGAGCAGCAAGTGTGCAGAAGAACCAGTCCATCAGCTACAACCCCAATTTAGCCCTGTCAGACTCAACTTTTGCAATCTGTAATTACAATAAAGATAAGTCCAATCTCAAGAATCTGGGACATACGTAACGCGTTGCACACAAGTCTGGAAAAGAAGCAGCTGAAACAGCTTGTGATGGCAACTCATGATACAACCCCAAAGTGTTACTATCAGCTTATCCCAAACTCTCTCCCAAACCCTCAGTGGCATAGTCCATCACCTCTTTAAACTCTTGTTGCTTTTCCTCTAACCGAGTATATTCTGTAGCATATTTATCTCATGAATTTCCTGTTTGTGCCCTGTAGCCCTTCTTTGTACTGACCAGTATCTGCTCTACTGCAGGCACACAGTGACACTTTACAGCGGAAACACGACAATTAATCTGATGCTGTTTATATGCAAACATCTGGCAACACACTCAAGAGACAATATTCAGTAAGTACGTGTTTAACAAAGTCAAGTTTCAAGCTATTGTAATGACTCTCTTCATGCCAGTCTCTTACTATACAGGATGCGCCAGGCCATAGCAAAACACTGGAATAATTTCTTTTCAGCTCTGAAAATGGGGTATACTTCTTCTAAATAATCTCAGAAAAAGGCTATACAGAAGAAGTACTTAAGCATAAGTACGGATGTCTTACTAGGAAGCTGGTCATCTAACTATTTATGTCTTTATAAACATCCTTAAAATCTAGCAATGAGAATTCAGGATAAAACAAGCTAAGCAAATATCTTCACAACACATATTTATAAGAAATACTAAAGAACTTTGCTATCAGCAATGAACCTGACAGATCTGTGATACCAAGTCACTTTTCCACAAGCAAGAAAATAACATCCGAGATGTTCAGCAAGGTTTCACAGTAACAGATTTCTACCCACTCCCCAGATGTGGAAGTCAAAAAAATGCATTTCATGAGACTTTGGTGCCCAGCAAAGATACACACGGTCCAACACATGAAGAGAGCCTTGAGCCACAAGAGCAAGGACAGAACACTTCTGGACTAAAGAACAACCTCTATTTCAGAGAAGGACATGAACTCAGCCTATGACTGAGCTTTGTATCTCATCTCTTTTGGAATAGGGCCAAAAACTCAAATTCAGATTAGACTCCAAAAAGCCAGATGCTTAAACCAGCATCAGTACTGTTATGCTGAAACTGAAAGTAGTACTCCTCTGCCAATGGCAACTGGATGAACCACATTCTCCTTTACAGTATAATTTTTGAATTCTAATTTTTGCATTCATC